ATAATTAATGCTTGATATTTCAGGTCATGTGACAAAAATAAATTGTGTTATGGGTGCATTAAATAATTTAATATTATATATTCACGAGGTTTGACCACCTTAACCAACCTTTCAATTTGAGGAATTAAATTACAACCATGTCCTTTGATTTTATTTTATTTAAAATTATGCTTGATAATATTTTTTACAAGACTCAATTTAAAATATTTTTTACAGTAATTATTTTTAGATTGCACAAACAAATAATAAAAAGCATATATTATGTGCAAGTACTTTAAACTGTAAATAATTTGACACAAACTAACATTATAAACTAAATTAAATATTTTTAAAATTGTACTTAATTTATATCTTTTATCTAATAAATGGAAATAAAAAAAGTAAATGATTTTACATTTCCAAAAAAAGCGTGATAGATTATTAAAAGTAATTTTTCAATATATATTTTAATAGATTTTCGTTTATCCCAATGGAGGATATGATAACTTATGTTTTTTCTTTTATTTTTTATACAGTAAATGTTTGTAATGATGTAGTTTATAGTTTATTTATTTATGTTTCGAAAATATACTATAATTATGTGATTATTATAGTTTTTATATTTATATTTCAAATTATATTATATATCACTTTACCATAACTTTCACACATTATTTCAATACTAATAAATTAGGTAGAACAAGACAAGTCATAAACACTCTTAAAGTTTTTGAAAAGAGTTTAATCTCAAATAACATTTTAATTTATTAAATTGATTTTAAATCTTAATATGATGCAAAACAAACACATATATAACATTAAAAGTATATGTAATATTTAAAAAATATTTTTTTTCATCTTTACAAAATTTAAAATTAATATAACATTATGTTATTCACAATATATTACTTGAATTTATTACTAATTATTCTTTAAGTGTGAACTTCACACAACAAAGTAGAAATTATATTATATTTTCCAAAGTTTGTTATTTAGAAATTCGTGAAAAAAAATGGTTGCAACAAAACTGAATATAAGGTATTTAAGAAAACACCACCCAATAATATATATACATATATATTATGTAAGTTACTTTTATTGAAATAACCGAACTTAACTAAAAATACGAAATATGTTTTTTTATTAAATACCAACATTTTTTTATCAACTAATTCATGAAAAGTAAATCTAAAATTAGTGAATATATTAGAAAAAAATTGTATTTAAACCTGAAATAAAATAATATACATGTCTTATTTTATAAAATATATAAGTAAATATTGATTTAAAAAGTTTAATAAAATGATTAAAATTGTATTAAGACACGTGTTTTAAAGAGTGTGTGATGTTTATAAACCATTTAGAGACAAATTTAAAAAAAGAAAATGTTAAGGGAGGAAAAAAAACTCAAAGAAACATGCTATTGTATTGAAAAAGTGAAACAATTTAAAAATATTTTTTAATTAAATTTTTTAAAATTTGATCTATTCAATTTTTTAATTTTGCAATAAAAATAATCAAAATTAAAAAATTATAATATTTATATATAATTTAAATTAAATAAAATAATATTTACTATAAAGAAAAATAAAGTTTCTTATAGTTTAAAATATATATTATTATTATTATTATTTAAATAAAATATATAAATATATAAAAAAATAAATTAAAAATATCACATATATAATTGTGTTTGATGTTTTTATATTATATTTATTTTTTTATTAATTATTTTATTAGAACATGTATAAAAGAATCATAAAATTCGTTTAATGAAATTATGAAATATTAATTTAGTTTAGTTCAGAATTTTTTTATAATTAAAACTAAACTATTAAATTATATTTACATTTTATATTTGATTATAATAACTTTTTAATATAAATTTTAAGTAATAATTTATATACTAATATGAATACTAATTTATCCTTTAAAATCATTTTCTCCAATTATCTGTCTCATTCAAATACATTTTGACTGACATTTTAAAAGATAATAATAAAGTTATTTTGATACATAATATCCTTCATTATATAAATATGAATATCAGTAACTTCAGATGGCATGCAAAGATTTTATGCCACATTGGTTGTTTTAAGAGCACGTTGAAATTTTCATAAAAGATAACATTTCAAAATGAATATAAAAGAAAATGTTCAAATTTTCTTAAAAGAAAAAAATATATATATTTGTTGAAATTATGAGTTCCAAGGTACTGCAAGGCCCATTAAATAGTAGTCCTGTTGGCCCAAGACCTAATGTAATTTTAAAATTTGGACACACTTTTTTTCATATTTATCCTTCACCACTTTCATCGTCATGGCTGAATTAACAAAATAACTTTTCTAACTTTTATTTTAAAAAATATATTTTAAAATATTTTTATTTTTGAAATACATGTGTCAAAGATTCATTGAGAATAATTTTAAAATTTGAACTTTTAAATAGTATTATAACTCATTATAAAATAAGTATTTTGGTTCTGTGACATAAAATGAAATTTTAGAATTAATATTTTGGATTTCACATGAAAATTAAATTCTAGATATTCGTTTGATTTAATTTGTTTTCTAGTTTTTCAAATAATTGTAAATATTTGTTTTCAAAAAATTATATAAAAAATATGAAAAATCAAGTTAATAAAAATTTTTTATGATTTAATTTAATAAAATATATAATATAATTAGTGTGAAAATGTATATATTTAATGGAATATAACTCTTTATTGTTTAAATTATTAAGTACGTTAATTTATTAAAATAAATAAAGTTATTTTGTATTTTTTAAAACATTTAAATAAATTGATTAAGTGAGTTATATTATTCAAATGATTGAATTAAATAAATTGACTTATTAAAATGTTTTTTTATAGATTTATATTAATATATGAACAAAAATTAAAATATTAAAAAAACATATAAACTTCTTATACTCAAATTATTTAATACATATTTTAAATAAATTGGACCCATTTCAATTTATTATTAAAAATTATCATATTTTTTCAATCCAATATTGAATCCATTGTGAGTTGGGTTACTCACAAATTGTGTCTTATATTGACAATGATAGATTAGATTAATTGAATGGAAAAATTAAAATGATTTAAACAAAATAATTATTTAATTTTTATACTTAAAACTTTGTGGATAATAAACATATTTCAATTATTGTGAAAAAATATAATTTGTGTTAAAATGTTTCTTTTGGTTTAAAAGGAATCATACTAAAATAATTTATTAAAATTAATTTAAGAAATAACTTCATAAATATTACATGCATGAAAACCTAGGAAAAAAACTATCACAATCATGGTTGAAACATAATGAGAGGTTTATTGAAAAAATAATAAAATACAAAATTTATTACTAAATAAAAATCATGATGGAGTGTTCATTAATTGCAGTTGTTGAATTATTTTAATACTGAATTACATCCTTATAAAAAATAATTTTTCTTAATAGATTTAATTACAAGAATTTTAAATATTAACTATGACACATTCAGTAGCTATTTTATAATTAATCTCTCACTGGTATGTTTTGCTACAGATTAGCTATGAAATAACTATGGAATAATTTGGCACTAAATCCAAGTAAGATAGAGATATAGTCTCTCTCAAAATTATAGCAAATTTTGTCGTCAATCTGTCGATAAGTTCCTCACTAATTTAAGTGATGAATTTTTTTTTCTCTAGCTAATTGATCTCCCAAAACTTGTAGTTAATCCCTCGCAATTTCGCTCTCGCTAATCCGTAGTTAATCCCTCACAATTTCATTATCGCTAATTCATAGTTAATTCTTCGCAATTTTTCTATCGCTAATTTGTAACTAATCCCTTACAATTTTTCTCTCACTAATCCGTAGTTAATCCGTCGCAATTTTTCTCTCGCTAATTCATAACTAATAGCTCACAATTTTGCAATTATTTCCTCACTAATTCCTCACTAATCCGTAGCTAATCCTTCGCTACGTTTCTCTCGTTATTTCATAGTTAATCCCTCACCATTATTATCAAAATTATTTTCTCGTTAATCTGTAAATAATCTCTTGCTAATTCATAATTAATCTCTTACTAATTCGTAACTAATGTCTCGCAATTTTATTAGCGTAATAAGTATTCTTGCGAATGTATCATCATAACATTATAATATCAAATGTTTAATATTTAAATTATTAATCATATTCTTAAAAAAAGAAGACAAACTTATCAATTTTTAATATAAAAATATTATTTATACATAGTTAAAATGATATTTCAAACAATTAAAACATAACAAAAATAATATTTCAACTAAAAAGTTCTATATAACACAAAAATAGAAACAAAGTTTAGAGTACATTTTCTTCATTGTTTCTTTAAGGAAGATAATAAATATTTCTTGAAAGACCGCATTTTTTCTTCTATTTGTTGTTGCATAAGTGTTTGTATTTCTGCTTGTGTCTTCATGTGTGCTTGCTTCAATACTTGCATATCAGTTTGTGCTTGTAGCTGTATTTTTATCTGCTCTTGCAAACTAGATATCTGAGTAGCTAAGGTAGTGATTTCTTTAGCTATAGAAAATTACAAAGAGAAAATACATAAGTACATCACTTACTACAATGAATTTCAAATTATACACTATAGATTGCTATGAAGAAAGACTCACTTGATGTTAACTTAATCTCGAGATACTAATATTTCATCCTTAGAGATATTGAAATTTTCATTCTTTAGTTTCACCAAACATGTTCCACCTTGTTGCATGAACCAGAATGTTGCACTTAATTTACCAGACAGTAGTAAAATATCGTATTTTTAATCATTTTAAACTTCAACTGATTTTTTTCCTTTATCACTATCCAAACCATAATTTGCAATTGTTTAAACAAGATTTAGTTAACCAGATAATATACCACTCAGCAAAAAACAACTAAGGTTATCCGTAATCACATAGATGTGTAATTTCAATTAAGAACAAGATAAAGATGGCATGTATTTAATAAACATATTACAACCATTAGTAAGCAGAAGGATTGAAATTACCAAATCAATATAACCTTCGTGAAGATAATGGAAGTATTCATAGGAACCTTGAAAATAAGGGAAACATTTCCCCCAGCAACTGTATAAACCATAAGCATTTCAAATGAGACAACGAAGAATTACATGTAGAATAAGAAAGAAACCAGAAAAACAACTAACCCCCACTACTTGGAGTCCCAATGTGGACATCTCTAAGCAAAGTTGAACCCAATATTACAAATATTATTAAGAGACTTAGATCATATGATATCTGTGGAGTTAGCATTAGAAAATACAACTTGGAAAGATCCAGATTCAATCTTCGATCCTGAGAACCTATAGAGCATAAAGAACTACTCATTCAAATGTATATATTACCTTTCTGTAGAGAGACCATATCATTGCTCTTCAATTTTGAAAAATCCAAGGCATTAGAATTTCTTAGAAGGGGACGACCATAGGGTAATCCCAACCTTGAGTGCAGGGATCTCCTAACTTCAACTGCAGAAAGCATGAACAATTCATAAATCACTAGTACTAATATGCTGAGATCATAAATTATTAAGTAGATTGGAAAAGCCCAAATGTTTGGATACATTCCTCTATGAAATTTCCAAACAGCATATTATAGTTTTTTTCTATATTTTCTAATGACAAGTACATTGTAAAGAATTATCCTATCAACATTAGAGTTCAACAAAATACCTTGCTTCATTTCTGCCTCCCCAAAACTTAGTTCATAGAAAATAGTTATCGGATGCAGAATATCAAGAGGACTAAAGTGGTAAGATTTTAGCTGGCAAATAAATAAATTGCAAGTCCATCAAAAGAACAATAAGTATTAAACACAGTGAAAATAAATATTTACTATGAAATAATAATAAATAAATTAAATAATAAAAATTCACAGAAATAAAATAAATTTCTTTCATGAATTTGACCTGATTGGTCACTAATAATAATTAATGTGTTTTGTAAATGAAGAAATGTATTTTTCCCACATCATAATTTCATCATGAGAATATGTTGCCGGATAGGTTCAGTCCAAATTGATACCATTAGTTCCTTATATCAATATATATTAATTACTAATTTTCATTTGTACAATCAATCCTTAGTATCTACCAAAGTCGATATAGGTCTGGTTCTTCTAACCATTTATACTTGAAATATTCCATAATTATAAAACAAATCTTCATATATTTGAAAGTTCAGATGCATTATATGTACTCATCTTTGTGAATCACAACCCATATTGAATTGAAGCTATCACTAGTTACATTAGTTTGTACCCACACTAACAGAGAAGTAGCAACAAGGGCACCAACATTTATTGACAAATAGAACCAGTTGTTTCATCAGCATCATCAAATTGGTTAGCACCAAATGATGAAACACAAGGCTTATCCCACCAGTGCACTCTGTCCCTTAGTAGCATGACAATTGTCTTGTGAATCACAGTCAGTTTCATGCCAGGAACTGATGCAGACAATGTCAAGAGTGTCATTCCCTATGCAAAGAAAACAAAATATTTGGTTACTTCTCACATTTTATATAAGCGCCACAATTGGATGGCAACCAAGACAAAAGCCACATAAGTCACATTTTTTCCCACAATTTAGTAGTTGCCAAATAACCGCCACATTTTTTTCCTACAAATTTTTTTTTCACAGAAACCTTGACTTTCCCTATTGCACTGAATAACTCTACCAATGAAAAGGGCAATTTAAATAAGTCCAGTAACAAAGAGACAGAACACAGGCATAAAGCATCACCCCCATTCTACAATTATAATATGTAACGTGAGCACCGTGTTTGTTATCATCATAATAAAACAAGACATTGATCATCAAAACATAAGCCCTAAATATTGAAACAAACTAAAAGTACCATATCAAAACATACAACCAAAAATCCAGAAACTAAGGAGATAATCTCAATACTCAACCCACATAAAACGTATTCTATCGCAAATAAAGAGTTTCCAAAATCAAAGGTCATACGAAAACAAACAAAAATACAAAATGCCACATATCACAAACCAAACCCTGCCAATCCAACCCCCACACACTAGCATTCAGCAAACAAACAAACAAACAAATAAACAAAACCAAGTCCCAAAGCCCGAAAATGCAACCCTGAATGAAAACCCCAATCCGCACAAAAGGCGAAGGTTTCTCATTGTACTGAATCATCAACACATTCACGAAAGGTAACCTAACATTAAAGGACCTGAAGAAGCGAAGTGGCGTAGGTGATGTAGTTGCGAATAGCACCCTGGGTTGTGATTCAGATCTCATTCTCGTTGATTGGAGACTCGGGATTGGGCTTCTCCACCTTCTGATATCTATCCATGACTATGCCCAAAGAAAATGAAGAAGAGATTACCGTGAGAAAACGTGAGCGACACCGGCAATGCGTGCGGAAGTGGTGTGGCAGTGAAGCGGAAGCGACGCGGGACAGCAGCGACAACAGCGACAGTGGTGCGGGAGCAGGAGCAAGAACGGAGCAGGAGCAAGAATGGTACTGGAGCGGGAGCAAAAACGGTGCGGGATCGATGGTAGCTTAAGCAGCTAGGATTTACGAGAAAATGATACATGAAGAAGAAAGGAAAAAAGATTAATTAAGATTTTTATTAAAAGAATTATAAAAAAAGATAAAATAGTATTTCTGAATATAATAATTTTTTAATTTTTTATAAAGAATAGTTTCTTATATTATTTATATTATTTATAAAATTTTCTATTAATTTAAATATTATTAAATACTTCCAACAAATTTAAATTTACAAAAAACTTACAGAAAATAATTTTAAATATTTATTAATTTTTTTAGATTTTTTTTAAATTATAATTATTTCTAAATAATTTATTTTAGATAAAAAAATAATTTATATATATAATTATATATTTATAGTAAATTTGGTAAAAATAATTTTCTAAGAAAAAATTGTAATTAATTTTTATTGATATTTTTTCAAAAAGATCAAAAATTATTTTTTATTATTACATATTTTTAGAGAAATTTACAAGTATTTTTTGTAAATAAATTTTTATAAAAATAAAATAATTTATAAAAATAGTTCCCAACAATTTAATATTTTTTTCAATTTGAAATTTGCTATAAACTTACTACAGTTTAGCTATGATTGTATATTATACAATTTAGCCAGAAAATAGTTTCAAAAAATAACATAGTTAATATTTATAGTGAGAGATTAGTGACAAAAAATTTTCTACCTAAATTATTTTTTTGCCAAGTGAAGAGATAATTATAAAAATATTAGTCTTCTAACTATTTTACTACAAATTAGCTACAATATTATTCTTTCACTATTTCATAGTTAATTAGCTATAAATTAGTGAAAAATAAATTTTGTAAAAATTTTTTTAGCTAATTATAAAATTTCTTGTAGTAATAAACAATGTTCTCAAATACCAAATACAAAAATAATCTTATATGATTTATGGGTCTTTATTATGAGTGTTGAAAGGTAGAATTGAGTTATTAGGTTAACTTATTAAAATAGTTTGGATTAATTTAGATTATATTCCTTTATTTAAGTTTAAGTTGCAAGTGAATTGATTTAGGTGAATAAGACTTATAAAGCATGATCATAATATTGTTTATATAACCTATAAATATCTATATTGTAAATGATTTGATTAAATAATGCATTTATATTGTAAAATATTGATGAGTGAGTGAGTTTAACTTTTAACGAAGCTAAATATTAAAAGGTTTAATTTAATTCAATTAAATTATTATAGAACACCAAGAAAAAAAACTAATGTATTAAAACTCAAATGCCTTATAAAGTACTAGTTTTTATGGTAGAGAAAGGCGAAACTAAAATAAAACAAAATAACAAATCTTTAAAATGGAAAGAATATGTTGTTAATGGTCAACTTTAAAATGACATTAAGAAAATTAATCTGAAATAATTACTTGTGAAGATATGAGTTAATATGTGATGTTTTTTAATATAAAACAATTTTATTGTTTCTTTTTCAACTTGGTGTGGTGAATGTTAGTTTCGAGATGTTTGATTCTTTCATGCTGAGAAATATTGGTGAAAATGTGAATAGTAGCTTTATTGTCACAGTAAATAAAAGTATAAAAAATACTAACATAAAAATCAATAAGTAAATTTCTTATCTACGCTATTTCAATAAATACATAGGTTAAAGATGTATTCAGCTTATGATAAAAATTTGGTGACATGTCTTTTGTCTTTTAGCCTTCCAATAGACTTAAAGAATTTCATAAGATACAAAAATCACTTGTAGATCTTCTACTATCAATGAATGTAATAGCCTTCATTTGCATCAACGTAGGCATGAAGGTGTCAGAGATGAATTGGAATATAATAATACTTGGTCAATAGTATGTTTTAAGTATCTGAGAAAAATCTAGGATACATGTGTTTATCAGAGACAAACTAACTCAAGTTGTGAACAATATAATATATATATAAATTCTATAAATAATTAAAGATAATAATCTCTTAATAAGTCTTTTATAGATGTAGTAGGATTATAAAGAGAAGTTTTAAAGTTAATATATAATTTCAAATTAGGTGTCATAAGAATAATTGAGGTTTTGTAAGATAACATGTCATTGTTGACACAATATAATGACATTAACTCATGAATATTTTAAATTAAGATTATGAAAGTTTCATTCAGCTTAAGAAAAAACTTTAAAATCTCAAAATCTTTTAATTTGAAGTTGTCCTAAAACATAAATTTGACAAAGTTTATGTTAAAAGTATTAGGACTAGTAATAAAAATGTTAGCGCTGTAATTATATTCAAATTAATTGAATCTTTGAGAAGTAAAAGTATAGTTAAGTTGTTAAACCGACTTCTGAAAGCTTTTTGAGGCATATTTAGATTTTTGAAGTTTGCATACTAAAGAATAATTTGATAGAAGATAAATCATGCTTGTAGTATGGAGGGATGTTCATAATTTTTTTTAAGAGACAGAAAGAGATAAATGGAGATAACATTAATAATCTTTGCAACAAATGAATATATTTTTTATAAATCTATACTATATTGCTGAGTGAAGTCACATGCAATCAATTTAGCCTTGTGCTTGACAACAACACCATTAGAAATGAAAAATATATTTATAAACCTTAACATTTCTAAAGATAAAAATTTGTTGATGGGTGAGATCATACAACTTGTAACCTTTGTAACTATGAGGATATTTTATGAAAAAATTGAACAATAGCCCTAAAATTGAATTTATATCTTCTAGAAAGAAAAGTAACGACATAATTGAAATAAAATAATTAGGTAGTTTACATAAAAGAATTAGTAATTTGATTTGTGAGAAAAACAACATTTTTAACATAATTTTGAGAACATTAGATCGAAACATCAAAGGACAACTAATGTTTAAAATATATAAAATTTTATTTTTGTCGTATTATTTTGTTTAAGTCGTTCAATACATGAAAAATGGACGTAAAACACCTTTTTTTAGAAAAATTATTTGAAAGAATTTTTTTCTAACATTATTAGATCCAAATGCTTTAATAATAATTTGAATTAACGTAAGAAAATAATTAAGACATAAGTGTGATACCGTTATAATTTTATAAAAACATATAAATAGGCATGGCAACGGGGTGGGGCGGGTTTTGCCTCCCGTCCCCGTCCCCGACTTTTTAATCATCCCCGTCCCCGCCCGATCTCGCGGGTTAGGAATTAAGTCCCCATCCCCGTCCCCGCTGGTTTCGGGTTCCCGCCCCGCCCCGTCCCCAATTTATATTATTTTTAAAAAGATAATTATATTTATAATAAATTAATTTTACTATGTATTTTTATATATAAATAAATATTTATAATTTATAGTTATTATTAATTAAATATACATTTTAATTTATTATATTTATATTAAAATATATATGTAAAAGAAATATTTAATTATTTTTTATTTATATATATATATATATATAATATTTATAACATTATTATTATTATTATTATTATAACACTGTATTCAAATATTTGAATATTTATAACATTATTACTATAATACTGTATTCAAATATTTAATTATACATATAAGTTAATTCATTTTTAAGTTGTCAATATATAGTTTATAAGAAAATATTTAATAAGTTAATTCTTATTTAATTAGTTTGAAGTAATAAAAGTTTAAATTATTAATTTCTTTTAATCATTTAAAATGCAATTATTTTATTAAGATAAAATTTGATATATGATAAATAAGCATAATAAGATAAAAAAATATGGCATAATAAATATAAATTATAAATAAACTAATATTAGTTACTACTAAGATTGATGTAAAATATTTAGAAAAAGATAAAGAAAAAAGATTAACTTTGTGTTCATCAAATTGGTTGAAAAGATTGAAAAAAAAAACAAATTGATGGGAGAGACTAAGAAAATGTGAAAAACTGAAAGATAAGGGAGAGAATAATATAATAAATTAATTGATATAAAAGATTGAGAAAGATAAAAAAAATTAAAAAGTGGGTAGAAGAAAAATAAAAATTGGTGAAATATAAAAAAATAACCTTATATGTAATAGAAAAAGAAAATGAAATACTTTTAAAATATTAATATTTTAAAATTTAAATTTAAATATAAAGTCGGGGCGGGGACGGGCGGGGTCGGGGTGGGGATTGCATTACCATCCCCGCCCCCGCCCCCGACTTTTTAAAGCGGGGAAAACCCGAACCCGACCCCGCCCCCGGTCAACTCGGGGTTTCCCCGTCAAACTCGGGGCGGGGACGGGTCGGTCCCCACGGGTACGGGTTTAATTACCATCCCTACATATAAATGTATGTGAAACGACTTTTATCATTCTTCAAAGTTAAAAAATAAAAAAATCACCAATAAAGTGTTTAAAAGCCCATATATCAACATGAGTAAGATTAAAACAATGTGGACTAAATATATTTTGTTCATGTCAAGTACTATAATGCCATGTATAATCAATCAAATTTAAAGGTTTTTTATTAACAACGAGTCTGTAATAAAAGTAAGCAGATGACCTAATCTCTTATGTCAAGTTTCTTGTGTAACTTTATTATAATTGTTGATACTAGTATAATTGAAATTGCATTTATTAAAATAAAAAATCAATAGATCATATTGAAGTTTAGTAATGTCAATCATCCTCGTTGTTTGGAGGTTTTGCAAAAAAAAATTGTTAGCTTCCATAATAAAATGAAAAGAATGACTTTTGTTAAAGTTAACAAAGAAAAAAAAATGGATCTAAAAGTAAAAATATAAAACATGCTATAAAAAAATGTATCCTTATTAATCGCATACTTTTATTCCTTCTACTTTGACTTTTGTAGAAATAGATAACAAAACATGAGAATTAGGGAGAGATATATAAAAATCATATAGATATTTGAAACAAATATGTGCATTTAAGTTTGGTATCTTATTAATTTATGCTTGTTGTTATGAAATTTGAATATTTAGGAATAATTAATAGAGAAAACTAAAGTATCCGAAGACGGTAAATTTGTGTCAGTAATTTTGTGCTGGTCATCTTCTTGAGGAATAAGAGAAAAAAATATTGTCAATTGAATGTAAATGATCCAATATAAGAAATTGACTACAAATTTGAGAAAAAAAAATTCATGCATGTTAGACAAATAACATCTTGATGGGTGAATAGATGCACAAATTAAAATAGATATCAAATCAAAAATTTATTTGTGAGTTAATAATTTGGTTTGAACAGAGATAAAATGGAAGCAATAATATAATCAAAAAAAGAGAAATAGATAAGGGAAAGAGAAGAGCACACAAAAATTTATATTGGTTCGGGTATAGCTAACCCTACATCCAGTTTCCAGTAAACTTTTAACACAAGAGTGACTCCCCATTCACTATCTTTCAAATTCAGTTTACAAATTACAATCAACTCAACAGAAGAATCAGTAAAAAGGAAACTAATTAAAAAGACAATCACCTCCTTAGAAATCCACTAAGGATGAACACCTCCTCTGAAAAAATAAAATGATGAAAACACATCCTTAGAATCTCACTAAGGATGAACACCTCCCTAGAATCACACTAGGGAAAAAACACCTCATTTTCACCAATAAAAAAAGGACGAAGGTAATAAAAATAAGAACAGATACACCTGGGTAATGGAGACAACAAATTGTAGAAGTATGTAGAATGTCAATCTCCAAGAACAAGTGTGATTAACAATGAGAGCACAGAAGGTAGTATAGAAGAGGGTTTTCTCAAAAGGTGTAAAATATCTCTGTTGCCTTGCTCATAATTCTTTTCTCAAAACTAATTGAATGTAAATTGTATTTTCAAATTCTATAATTGTGTGTTTTTGATTTTTCATCAAAAGTTAATTAAATAGAAAAATAACATCAGAAAATGACCGTTGGACATTAATAATATCATAAAGAAAATCAGGATGTATTCAAAAAAATTTATTCTTTAAAACGGATATATTTTTCAAATTTGAATTGCCATAATTGATTATATTACCAGTATAATCAATTATGACAGAGAAAATCATTTTTTCATTTCTGATGCATCATAATTGATTATGACAGAAAAAAATATAATGTTATGAATTTTATCACACTTGTGCTTTGGAGTTTTGTGCATAATATTACTTCATCAACTTGTACATCCATATTCAGTATTCTAAGACTCTATTTAGTCTTCAGGAATCATTTTGTGCTTGCTTGAATCATCACCTTTATAAAAAACATATCTTGGGCATGTAGGGAAATGTTTCACATTTTCACCAACGTCATAAATTCAGTTTATCCTTAATTCATCTTGAATAGTGTTGACTTGAATGTAGTTGACTTGAATCATCATCAAAATCATCTCTTGAAAATGTAGGAACATTTCTATCAATCTCCCCTCGTTGCTTTCAATGCAAACCCTTAAAAATGACATAATGTATTCATATTTGATAATGTATAGTTGGAGTTGTTGAGGACCATCATAGGTAAATTACAAATGTGGTTTAATAGCTAGGTAGTTCCTCCCAATGGATTTTAACTTCGTATAAATAGGTGTTAACACTACCAAACCCTTGTTGGAGATACACCCATTAAAGCTCTCAAGTTAAAAAAATGCAAGGACCATTTTAAAAAAAATAAAATTGATTTTATTTCATTCAAGATTTCTTACAGATTGGTGATGATATCTTTGGAAACTAAGTTATTATAGAGGCAAAAAATGTCAATTTTATTTGCACAAAACCAAGTGACAAAAGTGGACGTGTCATAATAGATTGGAAAAGAGTACCATCAATAAACGATAATTTGTCTTCTTAATAATGATTACATGCATCACCATGCTCTATAGGTAGTATAATTCTTGTGATCAATATATTGAGACGTGAGAATAAGACCTCACAAGATCAAGTTTATCATTAGAGCAATACAAGAAAATAAGAGGAATAAGATCTTGATTAAGCTCCTTCGATTGGTCATAAAGAAGAAAAAAGAAAAAGATTTTGATAAACATAAACAAATAAAGACTGAAAAAAAAGGATTTTTTTTATTAAAGTTCAATTACTTTACAGAAAAAATATTTATATAGTAAAGCAGAATAAAAAATGGAAAAAATAACAATAAAAAAATAGAATAACATATCCAATATCAATTTAACTAAAAAACTCAATTAAAAGACTCAATTAAAATGTTTGAGTAAATTTAGAAAACTTCAAGATCATAGATAATTATACACGAACATCAATTTGTTTCCTAATGTTTTTTATATTGTGTTAAGGTCCTCATCATTGCAACATTTTTTTTTGTGTGTACCTAAACCATACACAATGAAAACAAGTTTCCATCATATATTCGAAAAAGAAAAGGAGACTAGAATCTTAGATAAAGAAATACCTTTAGAAAAATGCGTATAAATATTTATTAAGTGATAAGAAATATGAGTAGAATATTTATCCATAATTTTTATTAAAGTCTATTATTATTATTATTATAAATATAATGTTATAAATAATCAGATTGCACTCTTTATGTAAATATAATAACAAGTGCGTTATAAGATTATGTCTAGGGTGATTTTTATTTGAATTTTATCTTTGAATAAATCACAGATTGTGATTGTTTAATTGTTATATTATATTTAAATGATACATAAATAAGTATTTACAAGTAATTCCAATAAATAAAAGAACGACATACTAAATCCTACTTTAAGGATCATGTAACATTTTCAACATAGTTAAGCAAAAATGTGTTACATCAATTATCAAAACATAAAATGTTAGATAATATTAACACATATTGCCTCTGTATTTATATTTATAAAATTATTATTTTTCTTTAATATACAGTCGTTACATTTATTTTTTTAAGTAATTGTTATCTTTTCACCTTTTTCCATTGTCTTTTAATATAATGTCTAATATGATTAAAATAATTATTATATTTTGAAAGATAAAATAATAAAATAATATTAAAAATATCTTTATTAACTGTTACGAATTATTGTATTTAGGTAGGAAGGAGTATTGGAAAGCGAGGAGACAGGAAGGAGGGCGAGGATACGAAGTTTTTTTAGATGTTTTGGGGTTTAAATAGTGAGGTGTGAATAGTACGGCCCAAGTGTGTAACTAAAAATAATAATTGTCGAGATCCAAAAATAAGTTAGATAGAAGCAGCAGAAAAGAAAATAGAAGAAGAAAAAAATTGTCGTTGTTTTGTTTTTGGTTTCAACGAAAGTCCGAACGGGACACGACAGGTTCAAGCTATTAGCAGTACCCAAAACCCTAGCCAATCTCAGTATAGTGACGAACTGAAACACACTGTGTTTGTGGGAGTTGAAGCGTGGCTGCATTAAATTTTCAGATTCTGAGCTTGCAATCTCCTTTGGATCTTTGCCATGGCGGAGTCATTGCAATCTCTCGTGTCCCTCTCCGAATTGGTTACCACTTCCTCAACAAACCAACGTATTCGGATATTCCGTCGCGAAATCCCTGCGTTCTTGAGTTCCTCCAACTCAGGTCAGCACCGAAACCATCATGCCAATGCGCCATTTCCAATTCACACTCCCCAAACTAAATTTGTCATTTCCATTTCCTCTAAACGGGGATCGTTTTATCGCGAACAAGGCTTCGTTTCTCTCTATTATTGCTTAGATAGACATGCACGTCTGAATGCGCGATTTGTTTGTTGTTCGACCTAATCAGTTTGGTCTATTTTGCAGAAATGTCAACCGAGCTCGCTTCACTTCTTACCGATATAGTGTTCCGAACGGTTGCGATTTACGATGATCTCAGATCGAGGAAGGCGGTCGATGAAGTGATTGTGACAGAGCTAGGTGGTGCGGTGTTTATGAAGACTTTCGCAGGAGCTCTAGTTTTGAATATGGAAAAGCAATCGAAGTCTCAATCTCATGTTGGATGCTATAGACTTCTCTATTGGTCGTGTTTACTTTTGAGCAAGAGCCAGTTCGCCGCGGTTTCCAAGAATGCGTTGTGTAGAGTGGCTGCGGCGCAAGCTTCTTTGCTTAGTTTAGTCTTGAAAAGGTCTTTTCGTGAAAGAAGTGCTTGCAGGAAAAAGTTTTTCCATTTGTTTTCTCAGGTTCAGCTTAACTATCGTTTTTTATTTTATTTTATTAATACTAATAATAGTAATGGCCTCAATTTTATGCTTGAGTTTCAGATATGGTATTTGTACAGGAAGTTTTACAACAAAATTGTACAATAATGAGAGAAAGAGAGAATATAGAGAAGTAATGAATGACGCAACTTACAGAGTGAAAAAAAAAATCTTATTATATAAATTGTTGTACGACTTACTGTATATATAACAACTTATAAAGTTTTGACCTCCTCCTTTGCAGTTTCAATCTATATAAGAAATTGTTTTATACTCTATGTGTTTATGCTTTTCAGTCACCGAATATCTATAAGTTCTACATGGAAGAGCTGAGAAATGGACGAATTCCTTTCAAGGATTGTCCTGAATTATTAATGTTGTTGCTGGAGTTCTCAAGTCAGTCTCCCTCTTTAGTTGGGGAATTCAAGGTGTGTTAGTGTGTATAATTTTTTTTTGTTTATGTTTGCATTGAGTTGCTTATAACCTGGTAGGGTCTGATGTAGTGCTTTCCTCCTTACAGCCAGCGTTTCTTGATATATATGTTAGTGCAATACTGAGTGCAAAAGAAAAGCCAGGAAAGTGTCTCACTGAAGCATTTTGTCCACTTTATTTGCAAATGTCACATGAAGATTTTCAAAACATTGTGGTACCATCCTCTGTTAAAATGCTAAAACGCAACCCAGAGATTGTGTTGGAGTCTGTTGGCATTCTTTTGAAGTCTGTTAACCTTGATCTGAGCAAGTACGCATCTGAAATTCTTTCAGTAGTATTAGCACAAGTTCGGCATGCTGATGAAGGGAGAAGGGATGGGGCACTGTCTATAGTCCGTAGTCTCAGCCAAAAATCTAGCAATCCGGATGCATTAGACACAATGTTCAATGCTATCAAAGGTGTTATCAAAGGTATTAAATGGCCCTATGTTTGTGTTGTTGGCCTGTTATGAGACTCGTTAAACCATTTGGTGATGTGGGGTTATCTTGATTTTTGATCAACAGTGTTAATGGTGCTTTTGTAATATATTTGACCGCACAAGTTTCTTTCAAACAGGCTCAGAAGGAAGACTGGCTTTTCCATACCAGAGAGTAGGGTTGGTAAAGGCAATACAAGAATTGTCTAATGCACCAGATGGAAAATACCTCATCAGTCTGTCTCGTACAATATGTGATTTTCTTCTATCATACTACAAGGATGATGGTAAGCACAAGCTCTAATATTCCTTTTATCTGTTTGTATATTTCCTTACTATGTTGGTCTTATACTTTTTTATTCAATGATAAAACAAAATATTTTTAGAGAGAAAAGAGGTAAAGTACATAATGGGGAAAGGGGTCATATATCCTCCTAACAGTAAACAGACAAATGAAAGTAAAATAATAACCCAAGAGGATAAAAAATGTGAAGAGCTGTTTAATCTCTTCCACATCAGTAATGGAGGTCCCCTTAGAGCAACTGTGATCTGAGCACCTAGGAAATTAAAAAAAAAAGATCTTATCCTGTAACAAATCTTTGAGCAATGTGGGCATTGTTGAAATTACGAGTGTTTCTCTCCAAACACTTATACTAAATATCTGCAAAACCTCACATTACCACAAAATATTGGCATTGAAAACCTTCAAAGTGCATCACAAGAATTTTTCCGTGGTGAATGACCGAAAAGACACATTCAGTCAGCAGGAGGCCCAAACAAATTATAACATTAGAAATTAACTTCGGATGACAGTGCAAATATAAATTTGTTTCTAAATAGACCTACCTACACATAAATTAGAATTAAGTTGTATAAGTTATGCGAATATGCGGTAAGTCATTTGCTAGGCTATTAAATGCCAAGGAGTATCAATTGGTATTTCTTATCATTCTTAATGCAAAACAATTAGTTACAAATGAATTGTGCTGACTGTTACTGATAATTATTTATGCTTTTTGGTCAGCTGACTCTTTAATTTTTGGTATTGAGGGTATTTGGATAAACATTGGGAAAAGTGCCTTTATGTTACAAGTGTCTTTGTGAGCAACAATTTTTAACTTTTGATGAACAAACTACTTTGTTCCTTTTTAAGTGTTGGTACTTTGGAAAGTATTCGTTCTTATTTATCTATTTTTTTTAAAGTTAAATATAACATTAACTTTTTATGTCAATTATACCCGTACTTCGTGACTTAATTTTTAATGAACTTACACAATTATCATGAAAGTGTGAATGGAAAACAACTGGAAACTGACAAAGGGTCTATTGGAAACTTCATAGCTTTATGAGGAACGAGACAAATTATTATGCTTCTTGGTTCCTGAACAAAAACCTTAAAAGTCACTCAAAAGTAATAGAAGTTGTAAAATTAACTTAAAAAGAAAAAGTGTTTTTGGTATTTTGTTGTCTTATTACTTGCTTAATTATTTTAAAAATTTAACGTTTTCTTTTAATTTGAAAAGTATTTTTGACATGAAAAATTCCCTTGCAAAAATGATCATATTATGATTTATTGCTGACTCATGCTTCACACTTAATTGACAGGCAATGAGGATGTTAAAATTGTGATTTTGTCAGCTATAGCTTCTTGGGCAGTTAGATCTACAGATATCATTCAAGAGAATTTGGTTTCCTTTTTGGTTTCTGGCCTCAAAGAGAAGGAAACTTTAAGAAAGAGTTTTCTGCGTGGTCTACATGCTATTTCCAAAAATGAAGATGCTATGTTAAAGGTGGCCTGTTATTTTGATAGGTTGTAATTGCTTGTCAATTTATTTCAGACATGAACTTGACTCCCTCAACTTTCAACTAAGTATTTTTCAGATGTTACCTCTGTTTGGCCCTCTAGTCCAACTTGTGAAAACTGGCTATACTAAGGCAGTGCAACGTTTAGATGGCTTGTATGCATTGTTATTAGTCGCGAAGATAGCTGCTGTTGATATTAAAGCTGGTTTGTATTAGTAGAAGTCTTTATATTTTTAAAATTGATGACCAGTTTTGTTCTATTTTTTTTATTTTATCTTTCGCCAAAAAATTTCATTTGTTTGCTTGTGTTTTACTTTCCCAGAGGAAACATTGGTAAAGGAAAAGATATGGGCTTTGATATCACAAAATGAACCTTCGGTCGTGCCAATTTCTATGGTGATTACTCAACTAAAAATTGTTTATGGTATTACCCTTATTATACATATCTGAAATGATGCACTGCAGGCTTCAAAGCTATCAATTGAGGATAGCATGGCATGTGTTGATCTTCTTGAAGTGCTTTTTGTGGAACATTTACAGCGGTAAATTCCATTATAATGGTAAAAATTGACTATAGTTTTCATCGATATTGTTGTATCCTTGATTATGTTTATTTCCTTCATTGCAGTACATTATCCAACTTCTCAGTCAGATTGATGTTGCAGGTAAAACATTTTGCATTTTATCAGATACCTATATTAGCATGTTATGTTGACTCATTTATTGTTAACTTAATGCAGTTAATGATCTTTTTTATATGCCATCCGAGGTGGGATATTCGAAGAATGGCATATAATGTTGCTAGGAAGATTATCTCGTCTGCTCCTCAGATAACTGAAGATCTTTTCTTGGAATTTTTGAAGTACCTTACTTTGATTGAAGAAAAACTTTTAGCCTTACAAATAAGGTAAGTAGCTTATTATACACTGCTCTGCATTTTTATCAGTTAAATTGTAAAAGTCAACTGGACTTAGACGTGCTAATTTCAGAAAGGTATATCCTCTTCAATGTAAGAGTTGCATATTTTGCTATTAGATTTGGACCTACAATAAGCTTAGTTTTCCTCCTATCCAGAGGTAATAAATTATCTAGAAAGTTCCTCTTCAAATTCCTATTTTGGGATTTTTGCTGCTTTTCTATAAGTCACTTGAGTGCATAGTGTTGTTTTATGAGATTGGTAACAATTGTTAGTATCTTTGGTTTTGCTTTTGGAAGAACAGGTGTCTAATGTCATTGAAGCAACTTCTTCCACAATCTAGTAAATACTGCTTGTGCCTATCTTGCTGATCTTATTGCTCAAGAGGCTAACAATCTGTTTTGGAATTCAATTTTCTGTTTTTTTTTTTTCATACTACTCCTCAGTTCTCACTAACTGTTATACAGGTTGTCAAACTTGGTTCTAGTGTCCACAACATTTCAATCATACTCTTGTATTTCTGCTCTCGTAAATCTCATTCTTTACCATTCTGCTTTTAAACTCTTATTTGAATATGCAGTGATACTGATATCTCTTTGGACCCTCAAGTTCCGTTTGTTCCATCTGTTGAGGTGTTGGTTAAGGCTCTGCTTATTATGTCACCAGCTGCTCTGAAACATGCTTCAGATTCATTTGTCAGAATATTTCTTTGCTCACATCACCCATGTTTAGTTGGTAGTGCAAAAAAAGATGTAGTGTGGAAGGTAGTTATTTACATACTTGTGTGTTGTTTTACATCATTTGAAGTTTTAATTGTTTAATTTTTTTAACAAATCAACTAGCATAAACTTGGCAGTCTAGAATCCTGGCACCATATGTATGTGATCAGTTAATAGCCTAATGGATCTCACTTGAGAGCTGCAATACAATTGTAATGTGTGTATCGATTATTATATCCTAAAGTGGCCGGATGTATTTGGAAAATGATATGTCTGGTTTCATACATGTGGGCACTGATCAATTTGTTTATTTTTTGGTCATTGGTCCATCTCTCTTCCAGTTTATTTTTGATATATCATTGCATGAATTTTGATAACCCAAAAAAAAGAGGAATACTTGTTCTTAGGAACACAACAGCTTAATCAATCAACTGTATCATGGCTTTGTGTGCATAGGGAGTTACTCTATTGAGAACACTTAGTTCATGCGAGAAATGAGGACAATTAAATGATGTATAGTGACTACTGGATTATGTGTGTATGTATATTATGTTATTAGATCATAGTCAAATGATTAAGATTAGAAGCACATGATTTTTTTTAGTTATCATATGATAAGCCTGTAAATCATATTCTAATAAATCTGATTCTATTTAGATATTCCCATATAAACAGAGAATAAATCCTAAGAGATCATCTAAGATAATCTAAAATATACTAAAATTATATATCATCAGATATTTTTCAGAATTCCTGCCCCCCACAAGCTCAAGCTTACTAAGTTTTAGTTTGTTACAAGAAAATAATTCACTTCCTCACAAATAAAAATAAAGAACATAAAAACTGAGTGTTTTTTTTTTCTTCCCACCTTCATTGGAGCTGAAGCCATAAAAAAAAACATTAGTTGGAAAAGTAAATTAGTGATGTTGGAGAAGTCAGAGAAAATAGCTTAGCCAAATAGTTGAATGATCATCAGTCTGACAAGCAAAGCTTGTCTCTGTCCTTAAAATCACATTTGGAAGCTTCAAAATAATATTATTGGGGACCAAATTTTTTGAGTTGAAACTTAGTTTGATAACAACGTCCAGGATATAGACCAGGCTAGTGCTTATTAGGGCAAAGGCAAGATTGGTGCATCCTGGACATAGATGAGTCCAGTGTACATCAGACATAATCGAGACCAGTACGTCTGGGACAAATACAGTGCCAGTGTATATTGGACAAAGACGTGACCATTGCATCTAGGACATAGATGAAGCCATTACATGTAGGACATAGACAGGAGTAGTGCATCTGGGACATAGATAGGGTTAGTACATTTGCAAGGTGGTGAGCATAAGGTGTGTCAATGAAAGAGTCAGTGGTAGTTAACACTACTACGAGACAGAGTGGCAAATCAGATTAGGAAACAATGAAAAAAGTGACATTTACACCGGAAAGAAGATATACTGGAAGATTTAACTGATTGGAGTTCAACTTCTTTCGTTTTGGGGAACTTAGAAGTGGAACAGTGACAAAACAGGTCTGTGAGAATGGTACTGCTCTGATACTATGTCAAAAATGAGAAAATAGATGCAAGACATGTTGAAAATTGTGATTTGACTTAATGAGTATTTTTATACTAGTTGATCACAATAAATACAAATAATTGCAAGAGACTATTATTCCTATATATATATATATATATATATATATATATATATATATAGTATATGATATGTCTATAAATCATTGGCTAATAATTATGATTCTAATAAGATATCCCTATAATTATAAAAATCCTAATTAAATATTTTAGAAACAAATTGTAAAATATAAAAGATTAAATCCTAAGAGATGTTCTGAAATATTCTGACATAATCATCACATTGTTGATAGAGAAAAAGGTATTTCTCATATTTCTATCAATACATGTGAGGAGGGAGGTCATAATTTATTGTATATGCGAGTGTTGATTTTTTTTTTTCACTGGTTAGCTAACCTGCTTCATTCTTTTTCCAGAGGCTCTGCAAGTGTCTGCAAGCACATGGTTTTGTTGTCATTGATATTATTTCAGCTAATGTGGGGAATTTCTTACAGGTAATCGTGTGATTGATATACTACAAATATTTTGTAGCTTTCTTTTATTATTGTTAGAGTAGCTGATGTGTGATTTACGTGTTCCTAACAGTTGAATACATATTCGGAAGGGATGAACATATTAAATATCTTAATTTTTATTTCAATGCATTTTACATATGTTGGTAAAGTCAGTGATGCAACTGCTGCATTTGGTTGTGCATTTGCATTAGTACTTCGACAAATATGGCAATTTGTTGAATCACTGGATTGACTCTAATTCAATGAAATACTCAACCGATATAGTTTTGGGTCTGGTCAATGTTATTAAACACGGATTGGACCAGCTGCTCTGAATGGTCAAACCAGCAGCTGGACCCATAGTATGTCCAATCACCTATTTAAATCTCATGTGAATTTAACCTGGGAATTTGTCATCAAACTGGCACTGAACCGTGGTTGAATCAGTGGCCAGTGACTTGTGAATTGTCTTCCTGTCGTCACATTCTCCAAGATTATAGTGCAAACACTCATCCCAATATGTTCGTCATGCCTTTGATTCTGCAGGATGCGTCCCAGTGTCTGTACACCCTTTTGTGTGATTTATGCTGCATTGAATGTGATGTAGAAGGAAATGCTTGAACTCATGATGGTATTTTATATGTTGTAAAGTCACAACACCAAGATATCTTGGTAAAAGCTTTACAAAAATAATTTTTATAATATCTTTAGTATAAGGTTATATAACTTCATATTATGCTGGTTCATGCAGTTCAATTAGTAACCTACTAGTTCAACTAGTGACCCACTGAACTGATCCAGTAATTTAACTAGGTCAATGACCAGATTGGTTCTGTTAACACTGAGTCTAATTTCATGATATCATAGTAGGCAATAATGTGTGATAGCAGCATCATGGTGCACCCATCTCTTTTATGTGGCCTGTTGTAGAGTTGTTGTTTGTAGTGGCAGTAGTAGTTAGTTCAAGTGTAGCCGCACTCACATGAAATTGTGGACATCTCTGGTGTTAGTATGTTTACAGGTGAAGGGTGCAGCGGATTTTGTTAAAATAATTTTAATTATCTATTGTGCAGCTGTACGAAGCTGCCTTTTTGTTTTATCTGTCTGTCATAAGGTGTAACCTTTTTGTCTGATTTCTCATAGTTGTACTTATCGATGCATATACAATATACACATCAGTAAAGAGAAAATTATCTAACTGATTTTCTAAATTCAAAGTTGCAATGTGATTCATAGTGGGCACAATCCCATTCTGCTGTCTCCACTACCGAAGGCTATTACTTGTCCCTCAAAACCACTGTCTGCCGCCGCCTGCTGCTGCCTACTGCTACTCACCATCGTTTGTGGGCAATAATTTTTTTGGGTGACTTCAGGGATAGGTGTGTTTGTTTTCAATTGCGACCTAACTCAGGTGGTTTCAAGTCCGACCCATGCGCTCTCGCATGTAGATCAGGCAAGTTGCCTTGTTATGTGAGTACAGCTCATGCACTGGTCTGTCCGTGATGGAATGCCACCGCGACACTTCTGTAGCTCTCACCAGAGCCTCCTGGGTCTGTTTCTGGCATCAATTTCTTTGCCTATAGTGTCTTGTTAGGGTTGTTGGGTTGAATGTGATTCTTCCTCTCTTTTGGGTTGTCTTTTTCTTTAGTACTAAAGATAGCTTCCCCTTGTGTGTTGTACTGTGGGGGGAGAAGCTCAGCGGAAGAAGCTTAACTTCCTGTTGTGTGCTGTACTGTGACAATATGTAGAGCCACATATTTTTAGGAACTCTTAGAACCATTAAAAGTTGTTCCTTTAGAAGAAAGCTCAAAGCAATTTTGCTAATGATATACAATGCCTATACTACTCCGTTTAGAAACTAGTATCCCTCTAACTTGTTCCTAGATGCTGATTGATTGGAAGTTTATAAAGTGTATATGGTGCTGATTCTGTAGAGCTTGCATTCAGATTTTGATCAAAGTTGTGATCAAGATATTGTCTCACTGAACTGTTACTTACAAGACTTTCTTCATGTCCTACACTTGAAAAAGTGGAAAGTCTAGCCAAAGTGGTTGAGTCCTCCTCAATGGTGTCAAGGAGGAGGCTTCAAATTAGCTTTAAATTGATCACCATTAGACTAACTTTGGGTTGTGCTTTGTGTAGTCCAAAGGCCCAACATTTAAATAGGATTAATGTTGACTTTAGGAGGCTAAGACTATTTTGTAATTGAAGAGCTAATGTCTAATGAGAGAGTTCTTTGTGTTGTTGTGTAGAAATTTTGGTTTCAACCAAAGAAATCCTATTTTCTGTGCAAATCTTTTTTTAGCTCATTAATTCTTAGGATTGTGGCGATTTTCTTCACATTCTCTACGTAATTTCACTGTTTCTTTGATATTCCCTAGTTTTCAATCCTTGTTTGATTTGTGATTGATGCTAATGGATCAATTTTTTGGTTTAATTGTATGTCACTGATCCTTCTCACTGAGGAATACCCACCTTTTTCGGGCAAGATACCTTACATCATAGCATTTTCTGGCAAGCTTGTCACTGTTCTGGTCAACCCAACTGATGTTCTGATCACCAACTCATACACCTTTTGCTCTATTTTATCCTTTGTTCCTCTTCTTTCTGAAAATCTCTAATAGTTTTATTATTCGCTGTTCCAATCTTTGTAATAGGTTTTTTATTGTGAACATATCTTTAATTTTAAGTACTTTTTAAAAGTTTTCCGTTCATGTACTAAGAATAATTTATGTAATATATATCTAAATTTCAAAACAGTGGGTATTTTATTGCATTTTTGGGACCACTATGTGAGATTGCCACCTATTGTTTGGGAAGAGACATGGATTAGCTGAACATTTTAGATTATGATAATTTGCTTTTGATAAATTAACTGAATGGCCAAGGGAAACTTCAATTTTCTTTTTGTCATCTTTTTCTGTGTTTGTTAATATTTTTGTATAGTTTTGTGCTATTTTTTTGACTTCATTTTTAGCTTACCTCCTTGAAAAGGTTAACTACGATCTACAACTAAGAAATGATTTTTTGTTTTTCAGATCTTACTGGGACCAATGGGATTGAAGAGTGCTAATCCTCTAGAGCAACAGGCAGCGATATTGTCATTGTCAAACTTGATGTCTATAATCCCTGGAGATACATATATAGAGTTTGAAAAGGTAGACATGTTATTATTTATTTATAGTTCAGATTGATCTGAATTCTTATTATTGATAACCTTACCACACCTTTTTCATTCCAGTATTTGCTAAATCTTCCTGAGCGGTTTGCTCATGATACACTTTCGGAGAACGACATTCAGGTAATTCACATGATGCAGTTTATACAGTCTATTGATTGATATATACATTATTATATGTGCAATGTTTTTCCATTTGTTGTGATTACCACTTTCAAATTTATTTAGTCTATGGGCACGTATGTGAATAATTTTTTACATGTTTTCAGATCTTTCATACGCCGGAAGGGATGCTTTCTACAGAGCAAGGGGTTTATGTTGCTGAATCTGTTAGTGCGAAAAACACAAAACAAGCAAAGGGTCGCTTTCGGATGTATGATGATGAAGATGGCGTGGTACATATTAATTTACATTTTTCTTGCTCCAATCCTCCATTCCTGATATTTTGTTAGTTATACTCTGCTTTCCTTTAATCAGGATCGTACCCGGTCTAACCATTCAGTGAAGAGAGATCAACCTAGTAGAGAAGCTGCTGGTGTAGGGAAAAAGGATCCTGGGAAAGGAACAAAGAAGGCTGGCAAGTGTTGCACTTCTATTTGTCTTAGTTTGTAGCTTTTGAGTTCAGTTTTCACTCAGGCTTTGTTTTTTTTGTCCCAACGTTGTTGGGGTTTCTTTAGACAAAGGAAGGACGGCCAAGGAGGAAGCAAGAGAATTGCTACTGAAGGAGGAGGCTTCTGTACGTGATAGAGTCGATCAAATACAGAAAAATTTGTCTCTGATGCTAAGAACTCTTGGAGACATGGCAATAGCTAATTCAGTTTTTGCTCATAGTAGGCTTCCTTCAATGGTATTGACGCTGGCTAATCTTTGTTACCCAATATTTGATGCTATTTGAATAAACTACAATCACTCTGATTTAAAAATGTTAGTTATGATTCCTATCTGTTAGGAATATGTCTAAAGTACTCCTTGACGCTTTTGGGTTTTAGTTAGGTCTAGTCCATTTTTAATATGTTTTTAGAACCTATCTAATCTTTAAGTTGTGGGTTACTGTCATATATGACATTGCAAATGTCTTGTCCTTGGTGAGGGGTGTTTTATGATTCCTTAGCAGCTGGAATATGGCAAAATTATACGATATGTTACTCCCCTTTTGATCTAGTATTTTGGGTTGATTTTGACCCACTCCATTTCTAATAATGTGTGCTCTTCTTTTTTAGTTAAAATTAATTGCTTTATTCTAGAATCTTGTAGTTTCTAAATTATTGAGACTGTACCCAAATCTTCAGGTCAAGTTTGTTGAACCATTAATGCGATCTCCTATTGTAAGTGACGAGGCTTTTGAAACAATGGTGAAGCTAGCAAGATGCACTGCTCCCCCTCTGTGTGATTGGGCTCTGGACATTTCCACTGCTTTGCGTTTAATTGTGACTGATGAAGTTCATCTTCTGTTGGATATAGTTCCATCAGTTGCTGAAGAGGAAGTCAATGAAAGGCCATTAAATGGCCTTTTTGAGCGAATTTTAGATGGCCTATCTGTTTCTTGTAAATCAGGAGCACTTCCTGTGGATTCTTTTTCTTTTGTATTCCCAGTAAGCAATTATACTTTCAAATGCAATTTGATCAGTGTACCAAGGCTTCTCCGTTCCTAACTCTTATTTTCTTCAGATAATTGAGCGAATCCTTCTTTGCTCAAAGAAAACAAAATTTCATGATGACGTGCTTAGGATATTTTATTTACACCTTGATCCACATCTACCTCTTCCTAGGATACAAATGTTATCGGTAATTTTCCCAACATTTCATGCTTTGTTTAGTATTCTTTTGTTTTTGCACCTATTGCCTGATGAATATTCTTTTCTCCAGGTACTTTACCATGTACTTGGTGTCGTTCCAGCTTATCAAGCATCAATAGGACCTGCACTAAATGAGTTGAGTCTTGGTTTGCAACCTGTTGAAGTTGCTTCTGTATGTATGCCTGACTCTATTTGCATTGTGCAATTGTATTTTTGTTACAGTGCTTATGTTATCTCACAGTTTCTAATTTTATAGGCACTTTATGGAGTTTATGCAAAAGATGTTCATGTAAGAATGGCTTGTTTGAATGCTGTAAAATGTATCCCTGCTGTTGCTAATCGATCTCTACCTGAAAACATCGAGGTTGCAACAAGTATATGGATAGCACTACATGATCCTGAAAAGGTTTGAACTTTTTCTTTAGGAACTTATGGCTCAAGATTGCTCTTGTAATTTACCTTGTCCATAGAAAATAAATTGTGGTCTTTGCGTTTTATTTTAATTCCAATCTCACTTTAGATTATTGTTTTCTTGAAATGCATTGATATTTAATTTTGCTTTGACCTTTTTCATGTGGGTCTCTTGTATATTCTTAGGGTTTAAGGCATTGTCCTATACTTTCATTTTCATTTATATGACTAAAGAGTTCAATTGAAAGTTGTTAAATCTGACTATAATTTATATACTGGGTTTTTTGTAAATTGGACATTCTTGAAGGCAAAGCTACAATGATAGTGAGAGATGAAGTAAGAGAATGCTTTTATATATATATATATATATATATATATATATATATATATATATATATATATATATATATATATATATATATAAACTCAATCTTATCTTGAATAAAACTTAGTCTTATTTATTATCATCAAAACAGAGTGTGTAAAGGTTGACCTATATATTATTTCTTAAATTAGTCCGTCCGGTTCGTAATTACTAAATCACTAATCCAAAGTTCATAATTATACCCGCTCCTGTTTGCAAGTCATGAAACGCTTCCCATTTTATGCTTTGGTTATATTCTTGGTAATGGATTCTTTTCATTTCAGTACAAAAAGTTTTTCATTTATTTTTTATTGCTAGAGTATATTTTGTCAATATTGTCTTGTAATGTTGTATTGTTTTGTATTTTTAAAGTTTTTATTTAATTTTTAACTCTTCACTATGTTGTGATTGACTGCTAATTTACTATTTTCAAAATTTCAGTCAGTTGCTCAAGTGGCAGAAGACATATGGGATCATTATGGGTTTGATTTTGGGACTGACTTTTCAGGACTTTACAAAGCACTATCGCACATTAACTACAATGTTCGTGTGGCAGCTGCAGAAGCATTAGCTGCTGCCTTGGATGAACATCCAGATTCTATACAAGTATGTTTGATTTATAACTTGCACTTTGTTGCTGTTTGTTGTCTAATCATTTACTGATAATTTGCAGGAGTCCCTTTCCACTTTATTTTCGTTGTATATTCGGGACATGTGTGTTGGAGATGGTAGTGTTGATGCTGGTTGGCTGGGTAGGCAAGGAATAGCTTTAGCATTACATTCTGCTGCTGATGTTTTGAGGACAAAAGACTTGCCTGTTGTCATGACATTTCTAATATCGAGAGCTCTGGTAATTTTGACTGGCTTTTATATTTCTGTTTTCATATTAGTATGGTTAATATTTGATATTATTTGTTGTCTTCGTCCATTTTTTTGGTGCAAATTGTGCATGTTTGGTGTAATAATTTTTGCTATACCAGGTTCACTTATCAATTTACTACAGTAAGAATTTTCTAGGGATGAATGTGTGATGGACACCATTTTGATTTATGGTTCATTGAGTGCATATCTGGAATTAGGGTTTTACACACGGCTAAGGAGGGGTTTCAAGATCAAATTATGGCGTTCTGGTTGCTTTGAATATTACCTGCTAGATTATAATTTATTATCAAAATGAAATTTTTATGTGGCGTTAAAACTTAAATCTTGGATGATGTCTGTGGTAGAAATATAACCCTAACTGTTGAGAAAATGTGTAACAGTCTAGGATTTTAAATTAATTAATAAATGAAACCTAGGGTCACACTTATGTGTTACAACATTTTGTGTGCTGATATTAGCATTCCAGATTTGTGTTGGAGCAGAGGAAGAAGGCTTACAAATGTGGTCCTGAAACACTGTATTATGATTCCAGCTTGCAGAAATTATTAAAGTGTTGGTTGGTGCCTGTTGGCCTGCATGCGAACATTTGGGGTTGATGGAAGGCCATGATACAGTGAAAGGTGGAATTGAAGCTAAGAAAACAATGCCTAAGCCTAACTGATGTGTTGTGAAAAATGCATAGCATCACCCAAAAACGGTGGAAAAAATGGGCCTTGTATCTATCCAATCAGTGGGTAGAAGGAGAAGTGGATATGTTAATGATGTTGGGAGGTTTTTAACTTGTAATAGGATTATAAGTAACACTTAAGATTAATAGAGAAAAAATATATCTTCAGGACTTATGGGATCCTTCTCCCTTTCTTCTATTTATAATGAAAATATGATACAATGAGACATAGAAGACTAAGAGACTGCAACTAGGACTCTAGGTGCAGATCTAGATACAGATGTAGGAGGTTTCCCACACTTAACACCCTATACTTAGGTCTAATGATAATATTAGGAAGTAATGATTCTAACACTTCCCCTCAAGCTGGAGCATACAAATTGTATGAACCAAACTTGGAGCAAATGAACTCAATCCGAGGTCCCCTTAATGACTTGGTCAACACATTTGCAAGTTGGTCATTTGACCTAACGAACTCAGTACAAATTTCCTTGGACATTAATTTTTCCCGAACAAGGATTTCACAAAAATTAAGCTCCTAAAGAAATTGCTTTACCCATATGAGTTCACAAGTGAGAGACGCCATTGTCCGATATTTAGTTTTAGCGGATGATCGGGCCACTACATTTTGCTTCTTACTTTTCCATCAGATAACATTTCCTCCAAGGAAGACACAATATCCTATAGTAGAGCGTATGTCAATAGGGGAGCCTGCCCAATCAGCATCACAATACTCGGAGACTTGAACATTTCCTTTATCTTCATATAGTAAACCCTATCCAGGAGCCTTTTTGAGGTACCTTCCAATGTCCAAGATATGGAGTTTGCATAAACTGACGAACCACTCCAACTACAAAAGATAGATCAGGTCTAGTAATAGTAAGATAAATTAGCTTTCCAACAAACCTTCTATATCTCTTTGGATCAGAGAATAATTCACCTTCTTCTGTTGTTAGCTTCTGATTTGGGTCCATAGGACTGTCTACTGGTCTACAGTCAATCATGCTTGTTTCTTATAATATATCAAAAGCATACTTCCTTTGAGAGATTACAACTCCATCTTTTGACTGAGCTACTTCAATGCCTAAGAAGTATTTGAGGATTCCAAGATCCTTGGTTTGAAAATGTCTACACAAGTACTCCTTTAGTTGAGATATTCTTGTAGTGTCATTTCCTGTAATGATTATATCATCAACATATACTATTAGGTAAACACATTTCCCGAGAGATGTATGACAGTAAAAGACAGAATGGTCTCCTTCACTACGTCTTAGCCCAAATTTTTGAACAATGGAGCTGAATTTTCCAAACCAACCACGTGGTGATTGCTTGAGCCATATAGAGAACAATGCAATTTGCATACCATACCAGACTCCCCCCGAGCAACGAACTCAGGAGGTTGCTCCATGTAAACCTCTTCCTCAAGATCACCATGGAGGAAAGCATTTTTGATATCCAATTGATGAAGTGGCCAGTGACGAATGACTGCCATTGCAAAGAAGAGACGAATAGTAGTCATCTTGGCCATAGGAGAGAAAGTGTCACAATAATCAAGACCATAAACCTGAGTGTATCCTTTTGCAACCAATTGAGCTTTGAGTTGTTCAACTTGACCATCAGGACCAACTTTAACTGCATACACCAATCGACAACCAACAACCTTCTTACTCGGTGGGAGGGGCACGAACTTCCAAGTATGACTGTTTTCAAGAGCATGCATCTTTGCAATCATGGCTTGTCGCCATCCAGGATGATCAAGTGCTTCATTCACATTTTTTGGAATAACAACAGAAGATACTAAAGATAAAAGGGAACAATAGGAAGGCGATAATCTGTGATAGCTAAGAAAATTATAAATGGGATGTGGGTTTCAAGTGAAACAAGTACCTTTTCTGAGAGTAATGGGCCAGCCTGAATCACCTTCACCAGGAGTCGTGGTATCAAGGGACAAGGGGGAAACATCTGAAGTAGGGGATTCACCATGTTCTTGGAAAATGAGACTATCTGTCTGGGGGTATGAATAGTTGGAGATGATGGCTCAGGGAGGACTTTGATCAAGACTTTGACCAATATTTATAGAGACATTGGAAAGATTATACTCAACCATTGGAATAGGGAGGCCCTGCTGTATGACATGAACATCTTGAACAGATGGAGAGAAGTAAGGGGTCTGTTCAAAGAACGTGACATTGGCAGACACGTAATATTTCTTCGTTTTAGAAGAGTAACAACAATATCCTTTCTGAAGACGGGAATAGCCAAAGAAGACACATTTGAGAGAGCGAGTAGAAAGCTTGTCTAACCTTGGAGACATGTCATGAACAAAACATACACAACCAAAAACACGAGGAGAAATGTGGAAAAGAGGATTATCTGGAAACAAAATGGAGAAAGAGACCTTATGATTGAGAGAGGATAATGACATCCGATTAATAAGAAAACATGCAGTTAAGATGACATCTCCCCAATGATGGATAGGAATATGGGCACTAAGCAAAAGGGTACGAGTAGTTTCAACCAAATGTCTAATTTTTCTTTTTACTATTTTTTCTTTTTACTATACCATTTTGCTGTGGCGTATGAAAACAAGTGGACTGATAAGATACCATGTGAATTCAAAATGACAGAAAAATCGGATGAGAAGTACTCCTTGGCATTGTCACTTCTCAAGATTTTGATCACTTGCCTGAATTGATTCTTAATTTCATTTAAAAAGGATGTGAAGATGGATAATAATTCAAAGCGATTTTTCATAAGATAAACCCAAGTACTTCTCGAAAAGTCATCAATGAAAGTAACAAAATATCTAAAACCAAAAGATGAGACATGACTAGGTCCCCAGATATCAGAATGGATGATAGAAAAACTAGAATTATTTTTTGATTGAGACCTTTTAGGAAAGGCATATTTAACATGTTTGCCTAGTTGACATGACTCACATTCTAAGGTCTGAAGACCACTAAGTTTAGGAAACATTTTTTTTAACTTGGACAAATGAGGGTGGCCAAGCCAATCATGTAACATTTTAGGACTACGAGCTGCAACACATGACACTCGTGGACGAGATCCAAAATGATATAATCCTTCTGATTCATATCCTTCTCCAGTCTGTCTCCCCGAACCACGCTCTTGTATAACAAAAGATTTGTTATCGAAGGTTACTGAACAGTTTTAACATTTTGGTTAACTGACTTAAGGAAATTAAATTGAAGGGACAATTAGGGACAAAAATGATAGATTTTAGATTTAAGGAGGGAGACAGGATGACTTGATCGACTCCCTTTGAGGAAGTTTTAGAGCCATTTGCAAGGGTTATAAAATGAGGTTTGTCTTGAAATGAAAAGGTTGAGAACAAGGAGGTATTACCAAAGATATGGTCAGAAGCACCAGAATCAATTACCCATGAATTGTGACGTTCCATGGATTGAAAGATGCAAGCTGTTGATGAACTTGGATGTTGAGATGGCTTTGCCAAGCTGTTGGACTTGAGTAGTAGGTACTTTGATGCTCGTTCTCAGTGAACTTGGGTTCAGTCGTTTCAGCCTAAGAGACATTGACTGTTTTGGAAGGAAAATCGTGTAAGGAGTAACAGTTTTCCTAGGTGTGACCCATCCTTTTGCAATATATGCACTGAGGACGCCCACGACCACCACGTCCTCCTCTTCCACGAGTGGCGACCATAACAGATAATTCTACTAGAGCATGAGTTTCCAGAGTTCCATGTGTTGGGACAGGAATCATGCGTTGGATTAAGGTGTCCATGGAAGGGACCTCATGAGAGGTCAGAAGCTGATCTCTGATATGGTTGAAGTCTGGATATATAGCTCGAAGAATCATCACTGTATAGTATTTGTCAAGCTTCTTCTTAGTTTCATCTGAAGCGTCGACCTCCAAGAACATCCGCAGGTCTTCCACAACTGATTGTGCTTCATTCATGAAGGAGATCATATGATGGTTGGTCATTTTCAGAGATGTCAGCTTGTTTGCCGAATCGTAAAGGTGTTGGATATCGTTGGCATATATGTTTTGAGTCCTCTTCTAAAAAGAGTGACATGTCTTAAAGGCCCTAAGAGACATTAAAAGTCTTGGCTCCACGGATTGCCACAACAAGGCTCCCAACTGAAAATCTGCTTGCTTCCACTGTTCAGCTTTTTCTTCAGGCACATGGCTTCCGTCTTTCTCAAGATGGTCATGATGTCCATGGCCAAGGAACCACATCTTGATGGCAGCAGACCAAGAGAGGTAATTTTGTCCGTTTAGCTTCTCGGAAGTAATGGAAGGACTTCCAAATAATGAAATAGCACTTCCAGTTGCCATTTTTGATCAAGAGGACAAAAAAACAGAGAGTAGATACGCAAAAACAACGAAGATTTTGAAAGCCCTAGGGAGATTTCCGAAAGGGGGACGTCTGGACTTCACCAAAGCGAACAGAGAAGGTTTTGGCGAAAGCTACTGAGATGGTGCGCTGACGATCCGGCTAGTGCACGGTGGTGCGTGGACTGCACGCGCCTGGCTGTAGCAGACGGAGATAGTGGGCATGGCGGCGCGTCCGCTGACGACAACGGACAACGATGGATAGTTGCTTGATAGTGGTCGGAAAGTCGTCAGACAACAGCAAAAAAAGTGACCGGACAAGGAGGTCGGACAGTTGCCGGAAAGTGGCCCGACGGAATTGGATGGTGACCGGAAGGGCAGAGCAAGACCAACCTGCTCTGATACCAACTTAAGATTAATAGAGAAAAAATATATCTTCAGGGCTTATGGGACCCTTCTCCCTTTTTTCTATTTATAATGAAAATATGATACAATGAGACATAGAAGACTAAGAGACTGCAACTAGGACTCTAGGTGCAGATCTAGATACAGATGTAGGAGGTTTCCCACACTCAACACCCTATACTTAGGTCTAATGATAATACTAGGAAATAATGATTCTAATAGTAGCAATAGCGCATAATAAAATCCACTAACACAGGAAGCTGGTGTAGGCAGACTCAGTTAGTCAATGTGGTTTATATCCCATATCTCGTACTAAATTGTACTTCAAACTAAAATCTTTTTAATGCTTGATTCTCTCAAAAAATTGGAGGTTAATGTGATGGAATGGAATATAAGAATCTGCCTAAAATTAAAAATAAAGGAAGATTTTGTGGCAATATGATCTATCCTTTGATGGTAGTGTTTTATAATGACTCTGCCAGTGAAATCTTTACATGGGTTTTTGGTTTGGTCCTTCCATGTTTGTTATATTTTGTTTTCTTTTATGATATTTTTTTTTCTGGGGTCACGTTACAAGTTTTTATTAAAAAAATTGTTATCCTGTATAGGATACCTTTTTTACCAAGAATATTTATTTGACAGTATCCAACAATGTTGGATTTTTGGGATTGATTTGATTTGCAGGCTGATCCAAATGCTGATGTTAGAGGCAGAATGATTAATGCTGGTATATTGATCATTGATAAAAATGGAAAAGATAATGTCTCATTGTTATTCCCCATTTTTGAGAACTACTTGAACAAAACAGTGAGTTCCCCATCTTTGAGAACTTCTTGCTGGATACTCGTCCTATTCTTTGCTCCTTGCACTGTAGTTTGGCATTTAAAACATGTATAAGAGTTATATGTGATGCTTGATTAATATATTCTCCGTCGATGTCTTAGGCTCCAGATGAAGAAAAATATGATTTGGTTCGTGAAGGTGTGGTGATCTTCACTGGAGCTCTGGCAAAGCACTTGTCAAAGGTTAGTATTAAAGCTTGTTCCTCGTTTTTATGTATTTGTGGCTATTTAAGTTTAAAATATTTTGCTATTATTTGTATTCCTTTTTGAGCAGGACGATCCTAAGGTTCATGCTGTCGTGGAAAAATTGTTGGATGTTTTAAATACTCCTTCAGAAGCAGTTCAACGGGCTGTCTCTGCATGCTTATCTCCATTAATGCAATCAAAACAAGTATGCAAGAACATTCTTACATTTTACATCCGTTGCTTTTACTTCTGGTCTCGTAGAAGATTACTGGTCATTAAGTAAATATAGGACAAAAAATAACTGTTGTTTGCATATTTATTCTTGATTTCTTGCCCCATTTTTGTTGATTAGATGGATAGTGTGGAACATTGACACAAAAAATAGGTCTAATATAACTAATATTAAACATTGTTAGGATTCATTTTATACAGTTTCACAGTATTTACTGAAAATAATACTGATACTCTTTTGCAAATTGTTATTCACACACTTGTTTGAGAGTAGTTCATCTATGTTGAAGTACAAGGTTTTGCTGTCGTGCTAGCTTGTCTGTGCCTGACCTGAACATAATTGCATTGTTAATACTTAAGGTTTTGTACATTTTGATGTTTTAAGATTTACTGAAGTGAATTCTTTTGTTATTTGATACTACAACCATTAGGATGATGCAGCTGCTCTTATTAATCGTCTGTTGGATCAAATGATGAAAAGTGAAAAATATGGGGAACGCCGTGGGGCTGCTTTTGGTCTTGCAGGATTGGTTAAGGGATTTGGCATTTCCTGCTTGAAAAAGTATAGGATAGTGATTACACTTCAAGAGAGTCTTGCTGATAGGTTGGAGAATTTATTGTTAACATCCTTATTTTACTCAGTATATGGATTATACCTACATTATTTTTATGTCAATTTATTTTTAAATTGCAGGAACTCTGCAAAATCACGTGAAGGAGCTTTACTTGCTTTTGAGTGTCTTTGTGAAACACTGGGCAGAATATTTGAACCGTAAGTTCTTGAGTACATTATGATTTTTTTTTAATGTGGTTATATTGTGTTTCTTTTTTATTGTTTTACAATAATTGTGTTCAGGTACGTGATTCAGATGTTACCATTACTTTTGGTTTCATTCTCTGATCAAGTTGTTGCAGTTCGGGAAGCAGCTGAATGTGCTGCCCGTGCCATGATGTCTCAACTTAGTGCTCAAGGAGTGAAACTTGTCCTTCCATCTCTTTTGAAGGTAATAAACATTTTGTCTGCTGCACATAAACAAAATCTGCTTTGATATGCACTTTAAAATCTGCTATAATATGTATGGTATACAATGTTTGAATTGCTGAAACGTAAATTTTCTATATAAACTTTAATGCCTGTTGTAAATTGTAATATGAAGATGAGTAAACTTGTAATATGTGTCTGAAATCTCAATAATTCAATTGAGCTTAACGTGGCTCTAGTTGGCAATTTGAAGGATATATATATATATATATATATATATATATATATATATATATATATATATATATATATATTTTGGCTTATACCTCAATGAACTTTTGCATAGCTAATGTATTTGCTCAGGGTCTCGAAGATAAAGCTTGGAGGACCAAACAAAGTAGTGTACAACTTCTTGGTGCTATGGCTTATTGTGCTCCACAACAGTTGTCTCAATGTCTCCCTAAGATTGTTCCCAAATTGACTGAGGTATAACTTGAAGGAAACACTACATTTTGAGTTTTGAATTCCTTTTTTAAGCTATAGATTGTTACCTTAACTCATCTTGCTATTTGAAGGTTTTGACTGATACACATCCTAAAGTTCAGTCAGCTGGGCAAATGGCCCTTCAACAGGTTTGTCTCGAGTTATGAACTATTATATCCATTTGATTCCTGTTTGTATTTTTTTATTTTAATCTTCATTTTTTTTTCAGGTTGGGAGTGTCATCAAGAATCCAGAAATATCTGCTCTTGTCCCTACTCTACTTAAGGGACTTAGTGATCCTAATGAGCATACAAAATATTCCCTCGATATTCTTCTCCAAGTAAGGTTTACAAATTTTACCATTTTTTTAGTTTTACGCATAGTTACCTAAGATGTTTTTGTTTGGTTTCAGACAACCTTTGTTAATTCGATTGATGCTCCTTCACTTGCATTATTGGTACCAATAGTACATAGAGGGTTGAGGGAGCGGAGTGCTGACACTAAAAAGAGGGCAGCTCAAATAGTTGGAAACATGTGTTCCTTGGTTACAGAACCAAAGGATATGATTCCATATATAGGATTGTTACTTCCTGAAGTGAAAAAGGTAATTTCATGGATTGTTGCTCTTACTTCTGCTGCATTGGCCTTGTTTTCTTCTCATTTCATCCATATATTACAAGAGCAGGTTCTTGTGGATCCTATCCCTGAAGTTCGTTCAGTTGCTGCCAGAGCCATTGGATCCCTTATAGGAGGAATGGGTGAAGAAAATTTCCCTGATCTTGTTCCGTGGTTGTTTGACACACTGAAGTCTGATAATAGTAATGTTGAACGCTCTGGAGCAGCTCAAGGGCTGAGCGAGGTCAGATTTTTTCTTTTAATAGGTTTTACTTTTTAAGGCCTTTGGAATTTCCTTTAGATTCACTTGGCTTCTATTTTAGCGTGGTTGAGTGAAAAGATAATTTATTGTTCGACATGGCTGAAAGAAACCTTGTAAAAAGGGAGAGAGTACACTTATGAATAAATAGATGTTAAGAAGGATAATTAAAAAAAACAAGAGGATCTTTTATTTGACAAAGTTACTAGTTTGCTTGTAAATTAAAGGAGCTTCTTATTATACAAATATTGGTGATATTTTATTGAACCCTGTACATTTTGATCAGTAAATTTATAATAGAAGAATTGTGGGGTTGTTAAGTGAGCTGGTTATTTATAGTACAACTCGAAAGTGATGAGAATCACTCGATAACATATTGGTGGTTATGTAGTGAGAATAGAACTACTTTTATATGGGATTATTGTGCTCTTTTAAGTATTAGTTTCAGGTCAGCTCTAACGCATCTCCGTTACTGCTTGTTTCTGCCATTGGGCAGCTAGCTAGTTAGTTTGATATATCTTCACACATGTGTGCATAGTATAAATACTGCAAACTTAAAACCTCACTTAAGTCTGAAAATCAATTTTACTAATCCATCATTCTTTAAGGAGATAGATTTACCATATTGTCATATTGACTTTTTATTCATTTCCAGGTCTTAGCTGCTCTTGGCATCGGGTACTTTGAACATGTACTTCCTGACATTATTCGAAATTGCTCCCATCAGAAAGCATCTGTACGGGATGGATACTTGACCCTGTTCAAGGTAAAATACTGAAAGTACAGTAACTTTCATAAATCAAACTTAGAAATTTAGAACTTTATTTACAGAGTTCATTTAATCATTTCTCCTAATATTCTTTTAGTACTTGCCACGGTCATTGGGAGTCCAGTTTCAAAACTATCTTCCCCAGGTGCTGCCTGCTATTCTAGACGGTATGGTATTTTTTTGTGGCCTAATTTATGTGCTATTTGTTTATTATTATATCTGAATTTGCTTTGTTCCTTTTTTCATTTTTTTTTATCAATGTTTTATAGGTCTTGCTGATGAAAATGAATCTGTTCGAGATGCTGCTTTAGGGGCTGGCCATGTTCTTGTCGAGCATTATGCAACAACGTATGTTCTATTTATTAGTCTAACTCCCGGTAAATTGTATCTGTGCCAACCTGAAGTTCTTAGAGTATTTTTATCTCCCCTCCCTCTGTTTTCTTTCACTTTCTCAGGTCACTAATTGCTAACAACAATAATTTTTTCCTACAGTTCACTACCTCTTCTTCTTCCAGCTGTTGAGGATGGCATTTTTAATGATAGTTGGCGCATTCGGCAGAGCTCAGTCGAGCTGTTGGGTGATCTTTTATTCAAAGTATGTTTTACTCATCCTAGAACAACTCCTTCACAGAGCATGGTTTGACTTTTGGCGATTTATTTCATATCAGGTTGCTGGAACTTCTGGTAAAGCTTTACTTGAGGGGGGCAGTGATGATGAAGGTTCTAGTACTGAGGCACATGGACGTGCCATCATTGAAGTTCTAGGGCGTGATAAGCGTAATGAAGTACTTGCTGCATTGTATATGGTCCGAGCTGATGTTAGTTTGTCAGTTCGTCAGGTAACAACTTTTACATTTACTCTTTTATGTCAATAGAGTTGTTATTTTTTGGGGAATATGTTTAACAAATATAAAGGCTGAAAATGCATCCTTTTTCACTTTTCAGGCTGCATTACACGTGTGGAAAACTATTGTGGCAAATACTCCCAAGACTCTAAGGGAAATTATGCCAGTTCTGATGGATACTTTAATTACATCCCTTGCATCACCATCATCTGAAAGGCGGCAGGTCTGCACTTATATCTGTGTGAATATATTTACTATCATAGCTTGCAGAAATTACATCTCTATGGCTAATGTAGGTTGCTGGTCGGTCACTGGGTGAGCTTGTCAGGAAGCTTGGTGAACGTGTACTTCCCTTGATAATTCCAATCTTGTCCCAGGGGCTGAGTGACCCTGACAGCAGCAGAAGACAGGTTAGAATAGTTTTTGGTGTTGATTTATTTCCTCCTAATGAACAAAGTTTTATATTGGTTGTTTTATTGATTCAATGGCTCATAACTTGTTATTTGATACAATTGTGAATTTTATTGGTTGTAAGGGTGTGTGTGTTGGTCTGAGTGAAGTGATGGCAAGTGCTGGTAAGAGTCAGTTGTTGACATTCATGAATGAACTCATCCCAACTATTCGGACTGCACTCTGTGATAGGTTTGTGCATTTTAATTCTGATTTCATTATTTGCAGAATTTTTAGACTGCATTATCTGATATTTAGATGGATATGTTAACAGTGTGTCTGAGGTTCGTGAGTCAGCTGGCTTAGCATTCAGCACTTTGTATAAGGTTGCCCTTGTTACAGAATTTTTGTTAGCGTCGTTGAGATTAAACTATTTTACCATATCTTATCCACAAATCTGGAATGTAGAGTGCTGGAATGCTATCAATTGATGAGATTGTTCCAACTCTTCTACATGCATTGGAGGATGATGAAACCTCAGATACTGCACTCGATGGCCTTAAGCAAATTTTGAGGTAAATTTGCATTGGCATTGATGTCATGTTTTGAAGTTATTATTTGTGCTGATTTCTTCTTTTCTAAAACTAAACTTTTGCATTTATCCTTATTTGTAGTGTCCGAACAAGTGCGGTATTGCCACATATTTTACCCAAACTGGTTCATCCTCCATTGTCGTATGTGTCTCTCAGTTTTGATCCATTCTCCTAGTTGATATAGCACTTGTATATTAACTAAGAACATTCTTGGTACTTGTGCAGTGCCTTCAATGCACATGCTTTAGGAGCTTTAGCAGAGGTTGCTGGGCCTGGCCTTGACTTTCATCTTGGTACTGTGCTTCCTCCTTTGCTATCAGCAATGGGTGATACTGACAAGGTAGACTATGCTCAGATCATTTGGAGAAAATACTTGTTCAGAATTCAATAGCCATGTTTTCTAAGGATTGATTTGGACAAATTTATCCTTTTTTTCTTGTTGATGTTCTAGGAGGTTCAAACATTTGCTAAGAAAGCTGCTGAAACAGTGGTCTCAGTCATTGATGAAGAAGGCATTGAGCCTCTCATATCAGAGCTTGTCAAAGCTGTTAATGATAGTCAGGTAATTTTTTTGTAATAACTGATATAATTTAGTGCCCTTCATCTATTTCCTGCATGCTCTCCCTAAAATTTTGTTATCTTTTTTATAATTTGTCTACAGGCTGCTGTCAGAAGATCTAGTTCATATCTGATAGGATATTTCTTCAAAAATAGCAAGTTATATCTGGATGATGAGGCTCCAAACATGATATCCACCTTAATCATCTTGCTAAGTGATCCTGATTCATCTACTGTTTCTGTAAGTGTTTGAGATGTTGATATTATACATAGATTCTCTATATAGTATATTGTTATAATTTTCTCTTCATTAGGCTGCTTGGGAAGCTTTGTCAAGGGTCATTAGTTCAGTGGCCAAGGAGGTTCTGCCTTCTTATATAAAACTTGTTCGAGATGCTGTGTCAACATCGCGAGACAAGGAACGGAGGAAGAAGAAGGTGAAGCTGCTACTTTGAAACTTATTCTTAACAAAGACTTTGACATATTGTTTTTGGTTCCCAATGGCTAATTTGTGGCTGTGTTTTCTGTATTATTGCTCTACAGGGAGGGCCAATTCTCATTCCTGGATTTTGTCTTCCTAAAGCACTTCAGCCTATATTGCCAATTTTTCTCCAAGTATTCTTTTTATTCAATTGAAATTTCTTCATTTGTATGATCATTACTTGTTTTGCGGTCCACTTTCATAATTACTTTTTCACATTTTTATCCTGTCTAATACTTATAGGAACTTTTGTTGTTGATTATTTTCTTATGAAGTAATAAAATACCAGTGTCCTTTTTCTAAAGCAATTGCAAGTTAATAAATTTGAGCATTTTCTATGCTATTTTCTGTCATGTCTGTTTATCCTCTTCTGTGGTCTTACTTTTCCACTGTCTCATTGTTCAGTCTTCTCTCCACAATCACTCCAGCTGAGTGAAAAGTACAACTCTTCTTACCCTTTTGCGTGGATCTTTTTTATGGGGTTTTCATGAAAATTCATGCATTAATTTTCAACTGGCTTTTAATCATTTATTTACAATTTTAAATAATACTATAAATTTGCTGATTGTTGTGGTTACCTAGATAGTGAAAGAAATTCTGTCTTATAAATTCGCATATAATTCATTCTCCAAGTTATAACTTTTGTATACAGGGTCTCATAAGTGGGTCTGCTGAATTGAGGGAGCAAGCTGCTCTGGGACTTGGCGAACTAATTGAAGTTACCAGTGAGCAATCACTCAAGGAGTTTGTCATCCCTATAACAGGGTATCTAGTAAAAAATCATTATAGATTATTGTTATGTCAATATTTTTATCTCTTATTTCAATACACTAACTGAACCAATTCGTTGGTTGTTGGCTTACTGTTTCCCTCTTTATCAGTTTGTTGTATGCATGTGCTGGCACAAAATTGATTTGATTTTGACTTTTTTGACGTGTAAGAATTTCAATAAGTAGGACTAGTCTTGCAATCTGCATTTGTTAAAGATATCATAATTATTATGTCTTTCCCCAGGAACTTAAGTTGTTGAATTAGTTCTTGAGTCCTTGACAGGGTATTAAAACCATTTTGACAAATAGTAGGTTATTTATAGCCATTTTGACCAATAGAGTTATTTAGAGCTTGATCTAACTCCTCCCATTATTTTAATTATACATAGTTTCTTTTCAAGGCTTTATGTAAGGTAGGCTTTTGATTGTCCTTGCTTTCATACCTGACTGAATGACATTTTATCTTTTTTATTTCTCGGGACATATATTTTATACATTCTGACTTTTTCAATCAATCATGTTTGTCATAGGCCTCTTATCCGAATTATAGGCGATCGATTCCCATGGCAAGTGAAGAGTGCCATCTTGTCTACTCTAACTTCGATGATAAAAAAGGGTGGAATCTCCTTGAAGCCTTTTCTTCCTCAGCTGCAAACAACATTTGTGAAGTGTTTACAGGATTCTACCAGGTTAGTTTGAGATACTATACTATTGTCCCCCCATTCTCCAATTTGTTGTGTTTACTCCCCTCAGTTTTTAGCTTTTGTAGATTTGATGTTGTGGTTTGAAAATATGCTAATCTCCTTTCAACATCACACAATAACTAATTTGCCATCGTATAAGTAAATCATTCAATTATAAATTTTCAGGATTTGTCACCTGACTTGCTAGCGCCACCTAAGTATTTTTAGTGGGGAAATCTCAAATGGGTGAAGGTAGAAAAAATTTATTGGACAAAAACATCAGCTATGCCATAATTAAAGAGGAGAGCCTGTGTTAAGGGAGTTACTTTGTCAATACCTAATTCGTATTCTCTTATATAAACAAATAATTTGTTAAGAAGATGAAGAAGATATATACTGTGAGATACAAAATCCTTGTCAGAGGACAATCTTGCAATAAAAACTGAAAGGAAAAAACAGTAAACAAATATTTAGGATTGTGGCGATTTAGTTTTGTTTTTAGTTTTTAAACACAGTTTTAGAGATTATTTCTTAGAAAATTGATTTTGAAAATAAGTTAGACAAAAAAAACTTGTTTCATAATTCTAATTTAAAAATTGTTTTAATTAAAAGAGGATGATATCGACGATAATGGAAAGTCAGGGTAAAAGTTGGAAAACAATTTTTGATTACTTTATGGTGATGTAGGCAGATGATGCATTATAACTGTTGAAAGTCCCACATCGCCTACCTCATGTCATTTGGTATGGTTTAAATACATGTTAGGCTACTCCACATATTGCCAATTGGTTTTATGTTGGAACCTTAACATGGTATCAGAGCCAAAGCCTAACATCTTTCCGGTTATTGTCATGGGCCAAAAGTTGCCCTTTAGTTGGGTCAAAAGTACCCTTTGCCTGGTCCGGCGGGCTTCGTTGGAGGGGGTGTGTTGAAAGTCCCACATCGCCTACCTCATGTCATTTGGTATGGTTTAAATACATGTTAGGCTACTCCACATATTGCCAATTGGTTTTATGTTGGAACCTTAACAATAACTATTGGTGAAAACATAAATACTATTACTAAAAACAGAAAATATAGTCAGTTGTTAGGAAACTAAAAGTGTATGTTAGAAGGAATAAAATAGGCAATTAGTGGTTAGAAGGACAGGCTGTTATTAGGAGGTTGAGAGGTGAGAATCTTTAGTTAGGAAGACTATAAATAAGGGAAGAATCTGTTTGTAAAGAGTGTTTTTTTTTTCTTTTGGTTAGTATTGGTGTAAACAGGATTCCTAACAGATCCTGTGAGGAGGGGAATTATCTTCCTTGGACTGTTTCAGTTTTAAAGAGAAATACCACGAGGGAATTCATCTTTGTTTTTGTGTGTGTGGTACGAGTGATCAAGTTTCTAGTGTCAAGAAACCTAACATCAGTTTTGATTTTTTTTAGTTTTTAAAATCTAAAAACCAAAAATAGTTTTCAAAAACTGTTTTTAAAAAGCAATTATCAAACAGATTTACTTTTTAAAAAAGAAAAGGAAAAACTGAAAGTTGTTTCTATAAGCAATAAACAAACAAGGACTTATTCTTACTGTTCTTAAAACAGGGGATGATTGGCTAGTATACATCTGACCACTAGCTCATTCATAGTTGATTATCCATCCTCCTCAAACTGTTAAATACAATACAACACCAGTTGTTGTGCTGGTGTGAGTTGATGGGTTTGTTGAAAACTCTAGCATGCATGGCTGTTACCTGCTCCTTCTTTCTTTGCTTGAATACTACCCAATCCACCAGATCGTCAACCTTCATCTTTGCCTCCAATATCTCACCATCTAATTCTTTATTTCTTACACGGCAAGAGATTTGGCACACTGGACCAATTTTGTTTATAAACTCGAATATAAAAAGATGAATGTATTATTGAAATAAGAAAAGGTGTAAGTTGAATATCAATTATTATGGGGAGAAAACTCCTCCAAGGATTGTCCTTTACAACTAAGCCTCCACACTGTTTTCTCTATGCTACAACTTTGAATACCACTCCTTTGGTAACCTTTTTTTTGAGCTGAATCACTGCCCTTCCAACTTGTAACTAACTGTTCTAATTAACTTGTAATAAAATGTTGACATTTGGGAGTCTCAATCATAATCTCATCTATATTTACTGTTCTTGCTTATTCATATGCATGTGATCAGTGTAGTCCAAATCGAGAGGAAAATTGTGGAATTGTCCAATTCCACGATTCTGCACCCCAACCGTGTTAGTTTTCAGGTGAGATTGGAATAGTGTAGGATCATTTGAATAATTGTTCAAGATCGGAAAAAATGCAAAATTGCGATCTGGTTGCGCTTTCAGTTGTGTTGCGGGTTGAATCTGCATCGTCGCCAGTTGTGGGTTGGTTTGTTGTCGCCAAACAGTGAGAAAAAGAAAAAATAGAAAAAAACTGGGATTCCTCCTCGTATAGAATATGGAACGTTTTTTTTTGGTCTTCAAAGAAGAAGAGTCTTGTCCTACTATGTTAAAGTGAGGTTACGAATGGTCACCACATTATTTAAGTTTTATTACGGTGCTTTATTGTTTAGGTTTAAAACCTAAATAATCAAAGAAAAAAACTGTTTATATTATGTATTTCTTTTAAGAAACGTTTTTTTTCTTCTTAAAAGAACAGTCTTATCATATTGTTTAAGTTTTATTATTTAGGATTAAAACCTAAACAATTACAGTCACCTTGCAATTCTGAGTTAGATTTTAATCATTAAGATTTATATTTAAAATTTATTTTATGATATATTATTATATTAATATATATTTTATATTACATAAAAATAGGATCTACAATCCGTATTACGATTCAATTATTTATGATTGTGTGAACTTCTTATATCTTACTCATAATCTCGATTTTGACAACCTTCCATGGGACATGCAGAACTGTTCGTTCTAGTGCTGCCCTGGCACTTGGGAAGCTCAGTGGACTCAGTACCAGGGTTGACCCTTTAGTTAATGATTTGCTGTCCAGTTTGCAGGTGATTTAATAATATTGCTATTTTGACTTAAGCTGATGCAATACCGTATTGCTGATGTTACTCATCCAATACAAAACTGTTGATTATTTAGGGATCAGATGGTGGTGTTCGTGAAGCTATTCTAACTGCTTTAAAAGGTGTCTTGAAGCATGCTGGGAATAATGTGAGCTCTGCTGTTAGAGATCGTTTTTACAGTGTCCTCAAGGATTTAATTCATCATGATGATGATCGAGTTCGAATATATGCTTCTAGTATATTGGGAATCTTGACACAGGTTTGTAGACTATTGAATGGATTTGTATTCACTAAAGTGTTTTTAATTTTTTCTCTAATCTCCATTCCTTCTTTGAACGACTATGTCAATATGTACTCTTCTACTTTGTTCAGATTTAAAATAAAAATTAATTGATGTGTCATTTTTGTATTTTTGCTACATTATGTTATTATTACCTTTGCTGTCATTTATTAAATTTATCGGAGTGCTCAATTCTACTTCACCTGTTCTTGTTTTTATGCTTTCTGATTATTTTTTTAACTATAACTGCAGTACCTGGAAGATTTTCAGCTTACAGAGTTGATTCAAGAACTGTCGAGTCTAGCTAATTTATCAAACTGGCCACCCAGGCATGGTTCCGTCCTTACAATGTCTTCCATATTTCGTTACAACCCAGCAATAATTTGTTCGTCTTCCTTGTTCCCAACTATTGTTGATTGCCTTAGAGACACCCTGAAGGATGAGAAGGTATGTTAATCCTGAATTAATTTGGATCGGGCAAGTTGCTGAAGTTTGTTTTAATTCTGTATTTGGACGTAATTAAGAAGATATGTTTATATTATTGTCAAATTTAGCAATTAGATGTTATGATGTGATAGTTTAGTTATATATAGGTTGCGACAGACTTGTTGAAGGCAATTGAATTGCTAAAATATTATTTTTGTGGTGTTTTGAAGGAGGAAATCCGTGCTCTGAGAAAATCCTCTGTTGATGTTTGTACTCAAATCTGGCCTAAAATCCAGATTATTTTTATAAACTTTTTAGAATTCATTATTTTCTCTCAAGTCCAACAAGTTTCTTGTATATTGCTCTTGTTGATTTTTTTTCAATTTTTGTGAAACAGTTCCCTCTTCGTGAAACTTCAACCAAGGCATTAGGAAGGCTGCTTCTTTATAGAGCTCAGATAGATCCTTCTGACACACTGCTTTACAAAGATGTTGTTTCACTGCTAGTTTCATCCACACGTGATGACTCTAGTGAAGTTAGAAGAAGGGCATTATCTTCCATAAAAGCTGTTGCCAAGGTATGTGCTTGAAGTCTTGCCTTTTCATAGTATCACCTGTAGAATAATATGTTTGGAAATTTAGATGGTTTACATTACTGAAACATTACAGGCAAATCCTTCGGCCATTTTGTCACAAGGAACCATAGTTGGTCCTGCACTGGCGGAGTGTTTGAAAGATGCAAATACGCCGGTTAGACTTGCTGCAGAACGATGTGCTCTCCATGCATTCCAATTAACAAAGGGTACATTCATCTGGCATTGTGTTATATGCCCTTTATCATGTGTTGTTGATATTTTTTTTGGGCAAAGTTGATTATAATTGTGTTCTAGAGTAGGCGTGAAATCATATGCAATAACAATTTTTTAAATTTCCTTTTCTGGTTGGCTGTTCTTGCAGCAGATAGTACTTCTCTCAAGTTGAATGATTATTGTTATGAACAAATCAATTGATTGATTTTTTATACTTCATACATTTTTTGGAAGCTCGAGTCGGAGAATAATGATTGTTAGATTAGTGTCAGGTGTATTAATTCTTCTTAATGGTGAAAACTTTGAAGACCATACTTTTAACAAATCACTTGCTTTAAATATCTTGGGTCCATCATTCAAAATGATGGAGAAGTAAAAGGCAATGTAAAGCATAGTATTCAAGTGGTTGGATGAAATGGAGGAATGTATTCCCGTGGCAAAACTTAACCACTCAAACTTCAGGCAAAGTTTTACCGTACAGCTATAAGATAAGAGCCAAAAAGAGAATAAATTCAATGTAAGGGAGATGAGTGGACATGCTCAACAGGTTATGATTATCAATGAATGCATCAGTGAGGAAGTTGGCTTAGGTGGTTCTGGCATGCATGTAGAAGTCTCGATTGGGAGACGAAGGGACTGTTTGGGTAGAACTTTTCCGCAAGTATTTCTAAGAAGGAAAAATGAAATAAACATTTAAATATTTAATAGGTTATTCTACATATTGCAATTGGTTTATATTGGAACCTTAACTTGGTATCATAGTAAAGCCTAATTTCTTTCCGGTTATTGTTTTGGGCCAAAAGTTGTCCTTTTGTAATGGGTCAAAAGTATCCTTTGTTGTTGTCTTGGACCAAAAGTTTTCCCTAAAATATCTTTTGTCTAGTCTGGCAGACTTTGCTGGAAGGGGAGTGTTGGAAGTCTCACATCGCCTAACATGTTAATAGCTCAAGACAACAACGAAGTGAATTTTTGATCCACAACGAAAGAACAACTTTTGGTCTCATAACCGAAAAAAGTTAGGTTTTTATTTTGATACCATGATAAGGTTCTAGCATAAAATCAATTAGCAATATTTGGTTGACAATATGTGAACTAGTCTAACAGATATTTAAATCATACTACATGACATGAGAAAGACATGTGGGATTTTCAATAAGTAGATGTACAGGGAGATCCCCACTAAAAATACACTATGGGTGAGACCATGTAAAATTTGGAGGTACAATAAAAAAATAATGACATTGTTTGAACTTTTATATAGTTCAGCCCGCTTAGTGTAAAAAACCTTGATTATTGTGGTAAAGTATGACCTTTGTTAATTTAATGATTATAAATTTTCTGCCCTTATTTTCCTCCGTACATCATTTCTCTCAGACCCCTAGTTATTTCTCACTTAAATCTGTTTCTAAACTTCTCATCCTTGAAATAACCTATTACTGCAAATCAGCCATCCGTGTAACACTTCCGTCCCATTCTTGTCCTAAAAGCTTTCCGTGTCAACCAAAAGCCTCTCTTCAAATATTATGATCTTACTATCAGACCGTATATCACCTATGAAATCATTACTTTCTGCTTACAAACATTTTTATTATGACGACTGTTTATTATTGGATAGGCTTTCCTATCTTCTAATGGAACAGGATTTTCGATTAAGCAACTGATAGATGGAATGGAAATACACTGCTAACTATTTTATGGATTTGGATTTTTCAGGTTCAGAAAATGTTCAAGCAGCTCAGAAGTATATCACTGGCTTGGATGCTAGGCGTCTATCCAAGCTTCCCGAATATAGGTACGTAATAATCAATTATGCATTTCTTTCTATAGAATGATACTTTCAATTCTTTATATTTAGTGGAGAAAAGAAAATTCTGATGAACCTGTCATGCAACCGGTAATAATATTGTTTTAGGTTCCATATAAAAGAATCCATTGTCCACTTCTGTTGCAATCAAAATTTTAAATTTTATTTAAAATACATAGAATTAAAGTAGCGATTATATTTAATGACATCACACATAATTCATTGTATATTTTGTTTTCCAGCAACGAGTGCTTTGTATTGTTATTAGGTCAATAAAGGGTGAATGAACCTATCTTGTTAATAGATTTCACGATGCATTATTGGTGTTTAATAATTCTGAAACTGGAACCATTATTTTTTTACTCAGGATCCATACTCTTATAATAAAGACAAAAATATTTGAGACATTTCCTTATATAAAGAACCGCTTAGAATACAAATTTTATCGTTTGTTTTTCATCAGAAAAATAAAATTAAGTGCGTTGAAAGTTTTTAATTTAAAATTGATTTAGATTAGAGGATACTGAAATAATAGGTTAATATTGAAATTTCATTTCCAGAACATCAGGACACATTGCTACTTTATTTCTCTTTATTACTAGAATAGATGATCTTTTTTTATTTTTAGAAATGTTCTGTGTAAAATTGATTACTCTTCCTAATTATTTAAGCTCTGTTAAATGCCGTATATAGTTAATTCTGAATCATTTTTTTTAATGTAAATTATGCTGGTTTTGTTCTCAACACCTGAACATAAGCCAAGCATCCACCCACAAATATGTTATTGATAAATCTCCCTCGTATTTACTGCTGTGCAGCGATGACAGTGATGATAGCGACGAAGAGACCTCAAGTAGCTAAGTAGTTTGTCTTTCACAAAGAGCTGTGTTTCCCCCTTTCTTAATGGTCTAAATACAGAGTTCTCGTTGATGACCAATTTTTTTGGTGGCACTATGATATAGTCAAAATATATATAGAAATATGCAATTTGAGGCCTTTTACCCTATTTTTTGAGCGTGGGTATTTGATTATGTCAATATCTTTGTAAATTAGACCAGGCTAATTATTTGTAACTATATTTATGGTTCTGCTAAATCAATTTTGGTAGTAATATATTTTTTACATACAATCTGTATTGCCATTTTATTCATTAGAGCTGTTAATTGACTATTTGGATACAGAATCACTTTATTTACTAAAATGGAATACTAATGTGCTGATTACGTGTTTTTAAAATCACAATCGTTTTATTATATGTAAATAATAGTGACGAGTTTGATTGTGAGATTGCAGGTACAAGCTTTAGCACGTGATCAAATCTATTTATTGTATGGCAAATTATTAGTTAATTACTATTTGAATTGATATATTTAAACTTGCATTCAAGGGCGGATGAATGTATATTACCGGGATCTCGGTAGAGTTCAATTTATAAAATAAAATATTGTCAAAATGAGTGCTAATAAGAGGTAACTCGAAAGTGTCCATATTACAGTTGTTTTTACATAAAACTGCTTTGATACAGATAATTAATTATTTGTCTAACTGGGCAGAATGTATAAAGTTTTTAAACTGTTATATTGTTACTATCTTAAATGTTGTTAGATATACAGGGATTAATAGTGAGAAATATTTATGTTGGCTATCTATATTATTTTAATAATTTATAATTGGTATATGGAAAGTTCAGAAAATTAGTTTTTAATTAATTGATATCACATTGATAATGTATCTTTATTAAAAGCTATTTTATATTGCAATTTTTTTTTGAAGTTTTTATTGCAATTTTCTATTATATAGCTAATTTCAATTATCCTCTGGATTTTACTTACCTGCCCGTGTTATTCTTGAAATCGAATCTCCTCGCCTTCAAAGCGATCTTATTTCAACATTCCCTTAATCACCTCCATCCAGTGATAATCTGTAGTGTCGTTTGTTTGATGTATATTAGTAAATATTTATGTTAGTTTCAATACAATTTTGCTAACACTTTTTTTTTAGTAAAACAACATTATTGAACAAAATTTATCACATAAACATATGATGTAACATTTTTAGTATAAGCAATGTTGTTTAGAGAAAATGTTTTGAAGAAACAAAGTAAAAAAAAAAACTACGTTTTAAGTAATAATATAAGGTTAATGGTAAGATTTATAAAATTAAGATAAAAATTCACTTTAAGAACTTTTAGATTAGAACAAGTTATTGTGTTAAGTGCTTGACAGCATAACATGACCCATAAAATTAACCAAAACGCTTAACTTTCTAAATGTTCCATGAAGACTCAAATATCAATTCTAATAATGAGGAGAATCATGATATTTTACTATTAATTTGATGTTTTGGCATTCTTTTTTTCTTCTGTAAAAAATATAAATATAAGGATCCAAACAAAAACCGTGATCGTTTACATTCTAAATTTATATTGTTATGCTTCAGGCTCATGTAAACCATATTATTTCATAATCATAGTTCTTAATCGAATTAGTTTTATTATTATTATTATTATTATTGAGTAGAGCAGGAAGCTGAATTATTGGTCATCAAAACTTCAATTTAATGATTGACAACTAAGGATATTTTTTTCATGTACTAGATGGAAAATTTCAATCAAGATTCATATGATTGCATAAATATGTTTCGCTTTTACATCGAAAAGCAATAATTACTTTCATATATAACTAACTTTTTTTTTAGCAAGGTACGCAAATCTTGTGTTGTATAATATGTTTTATGGTTTTTTAACTTAACCTGCACTACTTCTTTATGACATAGTTCAGACAAATTATAAATACATGGGATTGTAAAATTATTAGTCGGTTTATCTAATGTTTATCCTTGAGAATAGTATATATTTTTTATTGACTAACTATCTTTTATATCACAAATATAAAAAATAATACAATATTTACTCTTTTTAGTTAATTTGAAACATTAATAAATATATTATTATATTAGTTGCAAATCCTAGTATTAAACTCTGGCTAGTATTGATGCAAATCCTGCTGCAAAATGATACACAGAGCACTGAATACAAAAATGATGTCTTGAATAAAGAAAAAATGGAGATTCGCCATTAGAAGCTTTCTCCATTTAAATAATATGATTCTCATTTTGTACTTCTTTCCATGTCATAGTGATGGTTGTGAGTTTTTAAAACACATCTTCAAATGGATCTCGCTTCAAAATGTTGACTAAATTTTTTATTACTTCGATCTCAATGTAAAGTTCAAACCCTAGATAGATTCCATTAGACATTTATTTTTAAATCCCTACTTTAATTTATTTTTTAAGAAAATCATTTATTTTATTTTATTTTATTTTAAAGTGTTTACATAGTCCTCCCTCTATCTTATAAACATCTTTCCTTCTATGCTGTAACAGATAATTAATATGAAAGAAAAGAATGAAATAAGTTAATTTTATAAAATTAAAAAAATCTAAATAAGTGTTACATACCGTTATTGTTATTATTTTATAAATAAAATAAAAATGTTTTTTTATTTAAAATTAACGTGAAATAATTTTTCAATTTATTTATTTTTAATAAATGTGATTTAAAATGTTAGTTCTTACATTATTGAAGAATGTTTGAGGAAATTTGTTGTAGAGATATATTTTTTAATTATTTTTCATTTTTTATTAAATAAATGTGATTTAAAATGTTAGTTCTTACGTTATTTTTTTTGTGTAGTTTTAACTTTTTTTTTTTATAAAATAGTTATGAAAATTTTCTATTTTATCTTTATTTTATTGAATTTCTGTTACACTAAATGTATACTTGTAATTAATTAATTATGATAAATATAATGTAATTAAATTTTTTGAAAACAACATAAAAATATATTTTTTTAAAATAAGACAATGATTGATTATGGAAGAATTGACTAACTAGGGCATCTGCGTGGTAATAACAAACAGCACATCTCTCCACCATTTGAGTGTCCACTTTAATTTATTTGTCAGTTTTTTTTATGATTAAAAGAAGAAGATAAGCAAAAAAGACAGAGAGCAGAAGTAGAGTGGAAGAAAAGAAGAGAAAACATTAATATATGGTTTGTTTGGAGGGAAATATTAATGACAAATTGTATGGTGGCAGATGAACATTGAAGAAGTGCAATAAAAAGGGGATTGTTTTCAGTTGGGTAGGTCTGCGTTTTTATATTGCTTTCAATAAGTTTCGAATTTGAAGCCAGCCATGCCACACCCAGGAGTAACTTCACTTTCTCCTCTCTCTCCATAATTTTCTTCAAGTTTGTGCATCAGAAATCTATGTCTACGAATATCATCAACCTTCATGATCATGCATTGTTAATATACACCATGAATCAAATGCAAGCAATCATCATATTGATGCTGAAAGTCCAAGAGGGTCTCTGACCATCACCTTAATTAACCCCACCCACCACTCCTTCCTCACCATTAATACCATTAAAATAGAGAGAGAGAAAAGAAAAAATTCGTGTTTACCCCTCTTAATTGCCACTACTCTTTTTCTAACTTTATTTTCTTTGTGTGTGCTTCTATTTGGGTGTGGTATATGAAAATATCCATGAAAGTCAGTTTTACTTTGTGCTGTTTTCTTTGCTAGTAATGGTTTTCCACTTTACCCATTTTCTTTCTTGACAAAGAGAAATAATGGGTTCTGTGGCCTATTCTTGTTTTGCTCCTCTTAAGCATCACCACCTTCTTCTTCTTGGTTTCTTCTTGGTCCTCCTTCTGCAAACGGTTGAGGTTGGATCCAGCACCCTAAACTACACAACTGATAGGAAAGTCAACAGCTTGAGGCTCCAAAGGATACAGAGACACTTGGACAACATCAACAAGACCCCTGTCCTCACCATACAGGTAATCAATCATTCATTTAATATGCATGTGTCATTGGTTGAAATGTTGATTAAAAATGACCATATCTCTTTTATTTTTTGCTACATAATAATGATTACAATGGTTGATTCATGAGTTGTTGAATGTCATCATTTCAGAGTCCAGACGGTGATCTCATAGATTGTGTCCACAAAAGAAAGCAACCCGCTTTAGATCACCCCCTTTTGAAGAATCACAAGATCCAGGTACCAAATATTACTTTTTTTTTTTTTTTTCTGATGAATGAATATGAATGTCAATATGAATGTAACAGAGAGTACCAAGTGAAATGCCAAAGGGTATGAAGGTGAAGGGTGGAATGGGGATGGGAATGCAAAAATGGCATCAAAATGGGACCTTCTGTCCAAAAGGAACTGTTCCGATACGGCGGAGCACCGTGCATGACGTGTTGAGAGCAAAGTCTTTGTTTGACTTTGGGAAGAAACGACGACGCTTTTCTCTAGCACGCAGCGACGCCCCCGATGTAGTTACGGGCAATGGTCATGAGGTAACTGTTTTATATTTATTTTTATATAATATTATTATTATTCTTTGCTTATTACAACTCACTCTAATCTTAATCATAAATATTCAAATTTAATAAACTTGTTGACTTTCATTCTAACAATAAATTTTAATAACTTTTAATATATAAAAATCGTACTTACAATAACTTCTAATTTATTGACAGTATAAAGAGTAATATGAAACTGTAGTAATGTAATATTTAATCAATATTATTAAATATTCTACTTTTGTAAATATCCTTTAAATCAAAGGAACTAAAATATTTTTATTTATATTTATTTTTTATGTTTAAAATGATTTTTCCTTATTTTAGTTACACTTTTCTTTTATTTAATTTTTAATTAATTGACATTATATATATACACATATTTATTGTAATGTAGAAATAAATAAAAACTCATAAATATTTTATTAAAATTGAAAAATGTATTATGCTTTTTTTAATTATTATTTAGCATACAAATTATAAGACATAGAAAGAAAAAAAAAGGACTAAATTACTGTAAAAAAAGGAACAGAACACTAAATTATACATATCTATGAGATTATATAGGGTTAGAGTAAATATATGAGGATAAATCATTGTATTACATTTTACAATTTTAATTATACATATATTTTAAATCTTAATTCAAATTATATATAAAAAATTATCTTATATTTTTTTAGTTAAATTTATAGTGTTGTGTTTGCTATTTAATTATTTTATAATTTAAATGATATAATCATTGATAATATTAGATAGGTGTAGGCATTATTTTGATTTATTTGGTGGATGTATGATGCAGCATGCAATCGCATACACTGGATCAGCGGAGGAGGTGTACGGGGCAAAGGCAACGATAAATGTGTGGGAACCTTCAATCCAAGTAGTCAACGAATTCAGTCTCTCTCAGATTTGGATTCTTTCTGGTTCCTTTGATGGCTCAGATCTCAACAGCATTGAAGCTGGATGGCAGGTATTGAAGGTTTCATCATTAGGTTAATTGTAAGGTGGATTCATTGAGAAAACAAAAAATGGTTTAGTTTGGTTCGGTTTGGTTTTCTTTGTTTCTAAAGCTTTGATTGTTCTACTAGTCAGGTCAGTCCGGAGCTTTATGGTGACACCAGACCCAGATTATTCACTTACTGGACGGTCACCATCTCTCTCCTCTACTCACATTCATCATTTTATATATTCTCAGAGTAAATTTTTAGGGAGATTCAACAATAATTTATGTGATGGTAGAATTGAATTGCCCTTGAGTTGAGTCTAGACTCAAATGATTTTGTGGGTGATGCAGAGTGACTCGTATCAAACAACCGGATGCTATAACCTTCTTTGTGCTGGTTTTGTGCAAACAAACAGCAGAATAGCCATTGGAGCTGCCATTTCCCCCATCTCATCATGTGATGCTAACCAATACGACATCACCATCCTCATTTGGAAGGTTGGTTTTGATTATTTGAATAGCAGGATTTGGTTTAATTTTGTCAAATATCACCGATTGCATGCTGAAGTTTTCAACTTTCCTCAGGACCCAAAAATAGGGAATTGGTGGATGAGTTTTGGTGATGGGACGTTGGTGGGGTATTGGCCAGAAGAGTTATTCACACACTTGGCCGCACATGCGACCATGGTGGAGTGGGGTGGCGAAGTGGTGAACACTCGTGCCAATGGGCAACACACCTCCACCCAAATGGGATCTGGGCACTTTGCTGGAGATGGTTTTGGAAAAGCAAGCTATTTTCGTAACCTTGAGATTGTAGACACCGACAATAGTCTTAGCTCGGTGCACAACATCTTAACCCTAGCTGAGAACACCAATTGTTATGACATCAAGAGCTCCTATAGCAACGAATGGGGCACATACTTTTACTATGGTGGCCCAGGCAACAATCCTCAGTGCCCATGATCGACCACCTTCTACATAGTACTGTTTTGAGTTAGTTCTTGTTCAAGTAATGTCTTAGATTCTTAGTGTTGTTGCATTCTTTGCGTGTACGTAAATATAGAATTATTGTTCTTGATTGAGCCATTTCCATTCTTGTTTCTGCTTTCACCTTTTTGTTTTGTTTTCTTTGGAACGGAAGGAAAATGTGTTTGTGTTGTAGCGAATAAGTGATTAAGGATTTTCAGATCGATGCATAAACACGATTGGAAATGGTCTGAGATATTGAATGAAATGTCAAGCCTATAATTGTGTCTTCACTTTACTTTTTCTTTTCTGGCTCTCAATCTTTTCTTTATTTTAATAGACAATGTCAAATTTAAGTTACTTAAATATTAGTGTGTATATATCATTATCCAAAATTAACGTGTTGATATATAAAAGAATAAAAATATGTATGAAATGAGTGATAAGAGAGATTATTTTACTAAAAACTGAAAAGAAATACAGGTTTATTTATTATTTATTAGTATTTTAACTTGGGTTTTTAAGGCTCAATCCACCAAACATTACTATCTCAGTCCAAAAGTAATACTGATAAGCTCAAGCGGCAAGTTGAAATGTTTGACCGAAAAACACAACAAATTAAGCATTATACAATTTGACTTCAATACTTCCTGAGATAGGATAGTAGTAGAGGTACACTTTAATTTGGAGTGAATTTATAGTGCTCCATTTCACAATAGGTAAAAATTGTCCATAAATCTTACATATATATATATATATAGCCACTGTTACACATTTTTTACACAAAAGAAACACACATCTATTATATATTTTTTACTCTATCAAACTATTATTCACTTGGACATTAAAATACTTTTTACAAATTATTCTTTATCTATATATAAGATCCAGATTAGACTAAACTTGCAAGGCTCTTTTTTAAGTACATTTAACCTAAACTTTTATAAATATTTATTTGGTTCAAAAACAAAACTTTAAGCTATTCAAAATACCTTCCAAGTTTGACAGACTGACAAAATTTTAAGTAAATATATACAGTAATTTTTTTAGATTATTATTATATTAAATTTGTTATAATGAACTAAAACTATATATTCTATTTACCTTTTTTTTATTATCAAACATGTTAATCTATATAAAAAGTCAAACCTGCAGATATATATATATATATATATATATATATATATATATATATATATATATATGAAAATTATAATTAGTAGTGGATTATCTATACTACTAATAATAAATCCATTAATTTTTTGAAACCCTTATATAACAGACAATTTTTTTAACATTTTTAAGTTTGACAATTTTAAGTCTTTAATTTTCTAGACCCCAAACTGAGATCAGACCAATTTTTTTAAACAAAGAATACCATTGATACGGAAAGACTGGATACAGTCATGAACAACTAACCATTAAATATGTCAGCATTTAACTTAACGTCTCATATTCTTCCGAGTTGCCATCAGACTGATGATGTTCAAACAGCCAAATAGTATTTTCAATGCCAGGCAGAAGACCAGACTGGTTTTTACATGTTCTATAACAACAAAATAATATTACTAATGGCAAAAAGTCGTTGACATCTGATCAAACATTGCAATTTACAAGCTATCTTCCCCCAGCAATCCTAGTCTTCAAATTGATAATATATAAAATGGAATTGCGAACAAACAAGGATCCATGTCATATTCCTCCGCGGCAACTTATTTTTCCCATTCTAAGTCTAAAACTTGAGAGCCACCCTTCGGTTGAAGGTCAACTGTGCCTCTGGATTGCTGATTAGTTATCTGGTTCCAACCCATGATGTGTGGCAATGCAAACTGCATGAAAAGACAAATTAATAAGTGGCAAAACTCTAAACAAGGTACAAAAATATACACGATAGAAGAAAGGAAGAGATGAAATGGAATTCAAGTTTCATTGAATTCAACCAGAATGGTTATTTTAGCCAAATGACAAAGCAGTTTCAAACTACAAAGGTCAGCATATAATCAAAGACACGAGATGACATGCCCCCCATCTTAGTTTTCATATAGGGACTAACAAATATAATTGTAATGAAGGTGCAGACAGAAAATGGGTCGGATACCGTTAGTGACAAGCCAATGAGAGGAAAACACGTGAATGATAACAGGAACAGCAAAGTGTGTGGTTCAAGGACTACGTGACCTAACAACAGGGGTTTAGATAAAACAATTAGAGGAGAGAGAAGGGGGAAAGAAGTTGAATTTCTGTCTCTCTACGATTCATTTTTCCTTATTCTGGGCGGTTTTGAATTTTGGGGGGTTATTAACCTTTGAAAGAAATAATTCTATTATCTCTCTATTGTGTTGCTATTGTTGTTTCATTTTTTTAGTATCTGTGTTACTATTACATTGGTTATAGAGTGGAGGTGCTTACAATAATCTCCCTCCCTTTATATGTTTATGATTGACAGAGTGTCCGATGTGATACTTCGAAGCATCAAGCAACACAATGACTACCCTTTCAGCCTCGTTTTGCTTTAATGCTTTATGTCATGTATTTGTAGGACGATCATTATTTAACTACTTATATTGCATCTTTCGTACAAATTGTAAGTAGAATCTCACCAGTCCATGAACTATCATATAATTTATGCCAACTTATGAGAAACAAAGCAGATAAAAAGCGTACACTGCAAGCTGTCTTCATTACAGCAAACTCAGCATTTGTGATAGGAACACTGAAGAAGTCTTTGGTGTTTAACAGGTTGTTGACAACAGCTGCCAAAGAAGGTGCAACAATTAGAGAGCAGACACGGTGGATTTTGCAGTCTATAGGAAGCAGCACAAAAGGAGGAAAAAAAAAAATCTTACTCAATGATACAAAGTATCCATTACTGCCTGCATTAGGCTTAATTGATAAGCTCTTCCTTACTTGGCCAGCATTACTGCAACATAATAGGCTTACTAAGCCATCAATAATTATCTTCGAAGCAGTATAAATATTAAAAAAAATATCATTAATAGGTTAATAATAATAATGTACTTCTGATTCAACCCCATTATAGTTGTTCACTTGTGATATTTAGTTGGCAGTCAAAACCTAACCCAAGAGCCATGAAACCAACCTTGATAGCATTGAAGGGTCATGAAAGAATTCAGAGGAATCTTGAGAGCCCATGGCTATCAAAGAACCAACTTCAGTGGCTGAGAGAGCAAATCTCTACAAAAAGGTAATTACTTTGAGAGAGATAAACAAAAACAAGTCAACAACCCTGACACATTTAACCATGCAAATGGAATAGCAAAGATAATTACCTGTCTCTTCTCCCAGTCATATTTGCGCTCTCCAATAGAATGCATGAAAGTCATCATCATTGAACCACGTCGATCAACTACAATAGTCCCGGACTATGACAAGTAGAGTTCATAAATATGCATATCGGTTAACAACACACACGAAAAATGTCCATTCAATAAACTTGTTAAAAGAAAACTGCAATCTTACATCCAACTTAGTAAAAGTTGGAAGACAAGGATTCAACGAGAATGCCGCTTTGCCCTTGTAAACAGTATAAGGAGCAAATATGCGATCCGAGGCATATCCTGCAAGACAAGATGATAGCAGAAAAACATAAGTAAAGGTAAAGCCCAGTAAGTTCAGTTTCACCCTCAAAGGTTAGCAAAATCATAAACAATTTTATAAAGTAGTGCCTTTAGCAACATAATTATTTGTAGCAGTAGAAATGCCAGCCGAACGCAGAGAGTCTCCAACTTCAACTTTCCTAGACGACAACATTTCCAACAACCTATGCCTGTTTCACATAGTTTTAAAATTTAGAAGCATCTCACGATGTTCCTACGAAGATTCATCACATAATCAAAAGCTACGTGGGGCATATGTCATATCCAGATTCACACCACATTAAGCAATCTACAGCAAGTTTAAAGAAATACTCCGAAACCCTTTTTAATTTTTTTTTTCCTGGAACGACCTTCTCTGATGCTTATCATTTAGTGTTCAGACAAAATTGCGAAGAATAATGGATTAGTAAGTAAAAAGGAAGTAACGGAGCACCTAGAAGTGGAAGTGAGAGGAAGCACGCGATATAGCTTGAACATTTTGCAAAGCTTCTCTCTTTTCTCTTCTTCACTTGCCGTGCAAGAGAGTAGCACCCGAGATTTTGGGGTTTATGTTCAAAATGGAATTGAAAAATGATCCCGGTCGACTTCACCCTTAAACGACGCCGTTCTATAGCAACTGGCCCGGCCAAGTCCAAGCTCGAGCCCAGCCTCGTTATGATTTCAGCCCATCATTTTCACATAGTTTTGTAGTCCTTGCTAATTTGAGATTATTTTCAAAGCAATTGCACCGGTAAGTTCAAAATCCTTTATATAAACCAAAAAGTAGTTTATTTATGATTTACTTTAAAAAAATATATTGTATTCAATTGTTATACATTTGTATTATATGGTAGTTGTTTACAAGTATATTAATGCTCGTAAAAATAATATTTTTTTATCACAGTATAAAATATTATACTAATAATTTGTCTAATATTTTATATTAATTATTGGGTTATTTATCACATAAAATAATAGTGTTACCAATTTATTTGATGGCAACCAATTATTTATTATTATTATCCTTTTAGAAGTTTAAACCACATATTATAATTAATTTAGAGACCACAATTATTTAACAAAATATCTTTTAACCCAAGTCTATAAATTGTTTCTTTTAAGCACGCATACATATAAATCGATTTTTAAATAAATAATTAAAAATACTTGTGTTTCTAGTGGAATTTCGATTGATTTCGACTCTTAAGATATTTTGATCCTAATCAAAATTCTACCACGTAAGTTCTTTTTACTTAGGTTAGCAAATTAATTTTCAATCGAGATGCGTATGAGAATCGAATTTTACCCGATTTTAAAGACACTATTTTTGGTGTTTTATATTTAAAGTGCTCGAAATAAAGAAAGTAGAAAATTAATGGAATCGAAAAGCAGGGCTGAACATTAAATTGCAAAGAAACGTAACATGCGGAGACTTTAAATTCGCTTTAAGTATAAAAGACAGGGAATCGAAACAGCAGAAATGTAAATGACAGGAAATCGAATTTGCAGGAAATGTAAATGACAAGGAAACTTAAACGCGGAAACTTAACTTTCATTGAATCGAAATAACTAAAAATCGAAAGTACAGAAACATAAAATTGCTGAAGATAAATTGCATCAAAGTAAATTACCAAGGAAAATACAGAAAACGGTAAAGGTACTCAATGAGCATGGAAATCCAGATTGCCAGAAGCTTCATGATGTTCGTCGTTTCTCCGGTAGACTTCTCACTAATGATTCTGTTCTCTGCCAATTTTCCGCTCCCCCTTCCTTCCTCCTTTGCTCTATTTATAAAGCATCATTCAAACCTTCCAGGAGCAGTTAACAAAACTGCTACCACGTTCTACGTGCGTGTTGCAGTTTATCTTCTATGGTTTCAATACTGTACCCACGTTCTCACGATCTTCAACTTCTACCATGGTTTAGAAACTGTTTCCCGTATGTGCGCTTGACTGTTCTTCCCTTCACAATTTGGCCAAGGTTTCGATATCCACGTAGGTTAGCCTTCTTCACTTTCAATTTTATACTTTCGAGAACTTCGAATTGCTTACGATTCCTTTTTAACCGAAACATCATATAATTCAAATTTCTTAGTTTTTTATTCGACAATAGGCATTTGGCTATCATTCATTTGATTCTCGATTGTGCTTCTCGATGTTAAGTGCTACATACTTCTAATTAGACATCGAATGATTTTTCGTCTATCTTATCGATTTATCAATCAGTCACATATTTTCTCGCTTTTCTTTCCTTTGTTTTCGATCGCTTTTCTCGATTTTCCACTAACAAAATGCCCCCTTGGAAGAATATGAATAGTGTTTGTTTATATTCTTTCAATATTCCTGCCTTAGCATTTGGAGACCCACAAAACTTAGGGTTTAGGGTTTCTGGAGTTCTAGGGTTTAAAGGGTTTTGGGTTTCTTTTTTGCTTTATGTCGTCGTCTCGTCAGTCTGCTGCCTTACAGTACAAGCCACATTAATTGCCTTTTACCTCCGTCGTTTCCAGCTCCCTAGGTGATTTTTCCCTTAATCTCTCCATTGGTCTTTCTCTGGTTTTTACGCGAACCTTTACCCTTTGCAACTTCATCTTCTTCCTTGAGCTCGTCTTCATCCATGCGCCTTCATCTCTTGCCTTGCTTTTCTTCACTCTACCAGTTACTGAAATGGCAACTTCCTCCAAATCTTCTGACTTTTCCGCTCCACCTCTTCCCTCATTGGCATCTAACCTGCTGGAGATTAACAATCAGAAGTTCGCTCCAGTCCCTGTGATGGAGGAAGCTTCTTGAAAAATTGCTGAAACGCAGGTACTTATTCCTTACACTACTGATGGTGTTAATTATGCTTTTGGGGGTCCTCTTCGTTCTATTGATGAAACTTTTTCTCCCCTCAACCTCTCGAATAGTTCAGCTCTTGTTCACCAACCTGAAGTTAGGGTTGATTTTTTGAATCTTGTCTCTAAGGTGTATCGGACGGGCCCTCCTTCCAAAAAACCTTTGTACATTAGATGGTTCGATAGGGTTAAAGTTAAATTCGGGAATCATTGGAGAAGCGTGGGAATTTTCAATTTTTTGCACCTGTCCCGATGTGACTTATCTCATTTGGACATGACTATGTTTTTGGCTGCCGTTCACTTGTGGAATAAGGAAATACATGCCCTGGAATTACCTTGCGGTCCCCTCTTACCCACCCTTTTTGAAGTCGCGGCCATTACTGGATTAGAACCTATAGGAGAAAGATATTTTAAGGGTGCATGTCCCTCGGATAATTCTCTAAGATCTAAAATCGATTGGGAATCGAAAGCTTATGGGCATTTCCTCGAGAAGCATTTCGTCGATGACGAATCAATAGCTGTAACTGATGAAGAGCACATAGCCTTTTTGGTGTACTGGTTGTGTATCCATGTTTTCTGCCCCTGATCGATCCAAATTTCCTCCCATCTGTTTGACCTTGCATATCTCCTTCATCTAGGCCAACCTAGAGTATGTTTAGCCAAATTTTTGCTAGCACATGTATATACTGCTTTCGACGAGGCTGTCGAAATTTTGAGCACTCCTAAAGCTTCGGGAAATTTTTCTGGCCCTATTTGGTTTATACAGTTGTGGCTAAATTCGATTTTTGAAAGCATCCTTCCCCCAACTTCTACTATCCCCCCAAGTGTAAATATAGAAGGGGCCCGATTGTCTTCTCGCCATCCTCACCACAAACCCGATGAAGTGGCTTATTGTAGATACCTTAATTTTTTGTTAACCAGATTTAATTTCGATTCAACCCTAGCTCCTTTTACTGTACATCTTGGATGCATAAGTGGCCAACTTAGGGGGCCAATTTGGTTTAAGTTGAAATTCCCTGCCTCGACTCCTGGGTTGCAATTAGAGTTGGTTGATGTATGGAGTAACTATTTAGCTCAAGATGTACTAGTATCGGGTTTCCAGTCCAAAGACTTCAAGTTCATTACTTACTACCCTCAACTTTTCTCGAGACAATTTGGTCTGAGCCAATCTTTACCTTTCTTCCCCCTAGATACCTCCCCAAGGTCCAAGTTAACTGAATCGACAATCGGACGGGAGCTTGCCAAGCTTTTGCCAAAAACCCCGATGCATTTTTACCCCTATGTTTTTGAATCAAATTATTTATCGACTGTGGGTTTTTCTCAATGGTGGGCCAATTGGTTCTCGAGTAGTCATGCTGCTTTTAACGAGGTCCGACAGAAATTGACTGCTCATCCTTCTTTTGTGTTGCAGGACAAATCGAAAGCGAAGAAAGGTATACACTTCCACTGTCTCCAAATATCTCGATTCGAGAATTTTTATCAAATATGTTATAACCCACTGAAATTAGAATCGACCTTTTACGATGCTGTTATCTCCTTATCCTATAAAACAGACACTAATCGATCAAACCATAAAATAATCAATCATTTAGGTAGAACCCCTTTCGAAATGTATTGTCCAGATCGTCTTCCCACTTTTCCCACAACTCCTTTTGGACTTGCCAAACCTTTAACTCATCCCAAATGGGTTCGAGAATTGAGATCCCTAAGGGAAACGCTTCGCTCAAAACCTAAAAACAAAGATATTTTTGTATCGAAATTATCTTATTTCCCTTACCTCCATCTCCCTCAAATTCTCCTACCTTCTTGGCTTGTACATATCGATCGAGTCACGATTTTGACTCCATCACCTTTTGGTGAGATTTTACTGTCTTTTTATACTTTTTAATTCCTTATATTGTAAATTAACTGTCTTCTTTGTTTCGACAGTTTCAAAGTCCACCAAAGTCGTCGCTGTCGAGAAAGAGAAGGATTGGGAATCCTCGGATGAATCGGACTCGTCGGCCTTAGTCAGGAAGCGCAAACACTCGGCCACCATTTCTTCATCTTCCAAAAAATCTAAGGTTATTTTCGATTCCTTGTTTATTCTAACTTTTCGTTTATAGTCGCTTCATTTGGGTTCTGACATATTTCTGTATTGTTTTTCGATTTCTAATCTCAGAAACAAAAATCGAAGAGTCCTCGATCCACTCAACCACCTGCCATTGATCCATTGTTGACGGACTCCAATATAATCACTGAAGTGGGTCAAATTACCCCCACGACACATTCCAGTCACGTAAGTGCCTTCTTTACATCATTTTATATTCCTAGATCTCGATAAGACCTGTTACCTGATTTCGATTCTTGATATTTTTCAGGATCATCCATCGGCGACTATATCGACTAATGTCGATTCTCAATTCCAATCATCAATCCCTATTCCTGAGGTACAACTCTCGACTTTTTATATGTATGTTTATTTGACTTATGTACCTCCTTTTTTAATATTTGTTTCGATTTTACAGCAACCTGAGGCTGTACAGACTCTTCCTCCTGCCTCAGCACTCCTCGCTCTACC